TCTTATAAATTGAATATAGATATAATCTAAAATTCGTAGAAGATCTGGTAGAGAAGCAAAAACAGTTTTATACGATTAATGTAGCTTACTAACAAAAGTAAATCTGAATCAACATATATTAGTGAAACATAAGAAACTAAATATTTAAACATATAAACTTTTAACAAAAAAAAACCATAGAAATCCTAAGGATACAAAACAAAACACAAAAAATTTAGTAAGGAAATCATTTTCTAAATCAAACATATGCACATCGAAGTTGGATAATTCGTTAGGTGTCATTACTATGATTTTACTTAATAAGATTTATAATTTTATAAACAAAAATAGGAAATACTACATATTATGTTTTAATTTTTTTTATATAAAAGAAAATTTATACAAATATATTATAGTTTTGATAATTTTAAAAATATTAGTCAAAAAATTAAACCAAATTATTAATATAGATTCGCGCTACGCGCGAGTTAAAAAAGCCTAGTTAAATTCAAATAGTTAGAACCATATCTGGTTAATTTCACAGTTAATATAAATCTAATTAATTTTCAACTAATCTAAATTTTAATGCAATGAATTAAAAAAAAAACATTTTTTTCTTGAATTTCCTTCTTTTGACATTTTCCTGCTTTAAGATTTTTATTTTGTGGAAATTTTTTAACCTGTAACAACACAAAATTTCATGTTTGGATTAGATTAAAGTTTTATTTAGTGTTACAAACAATTTTTTTCTAATAAAAAGCCGATTGATCTATATTAGTTGTGAATACAAATTGAACATAGACAATCTCTAATGACCAAATGAATTCAAATGGTTGGATGAAAACATATCTTTTTTATTGAGTTACTTTCAGCACCTCTTGAATTTCCTTCTTTTGACATTTTCCTGCTTTAAAATTTTTATTTTGTAGAAATTTTTTTAACCTGAAACAACACAAAATTTCATGTTTGGGTTAGATTAAAGTTTTATTTATTGTTACAATTATTATTATCAATTTTTTTTCTAATAAAAAGCCGATTGATCTATATTAGTTGTGAATACAAATTGAACATAGACGATCTCTAACGACCAAATAAATTCAAATTGTTGGATGTTATGTTCGGTTAGTTTTACAACTAATATAAACTAATCTAAATTTTAAAGCTAGTGAATATAAAAAAAAATCAAAGAGAGAATGGAAACATATCTTTTTTATTGAGTTACTTTCAGCACCTCTTGAGTTCCATCTTTTGCTTTTTAAATTTCATTTTGTAGAGAAAGTTTTAACCTGAAACAATACATAACAACACAAAATTTCATATTTGGGTTAAATTAAAATTTTATTTAGTGTTACAATTATTATTACTATTAATATCAATTTTTTTCCTAATAAAAAATCGATTAATCTATATTAGTTGTGGATACAAATTGAACATAGGCAATCTCTAACGACCAAATGAATTCAAATGGCTGGATATCATGTTTGGTTAGTTTCACAACTAATATAAATCTAATCGATTTTAAACTAATTCAAGTTTTAAAACTAATGAATATATATAAGAAAATAAAGAAGGAATAGAAAACATATCTTTATTTTTGAGTTTCTTTTGCTTTTGACACAAAACAGTTTTTGTTTTCCTAGTTTTAAATCTGAAACAATACAAAAAAACAATACAAAATTTTATATTTGGGTTAGAATGGAGTTTTATTTAGTGTTATAATTATTATTATTAATAAAAAAATCATAATAAAAAATCGATTGATCTATATTAGTTATGAATACAAATTGAACATAAGTAATCTCTAACGACCAAATAGATTCAAATGGCTGGATACCATGTCCGGTTAGTTTCACAACTAATATAAATTTAATCGATTTTAAACTAATTTAGATTTTAATATAAATAAATATTAAAAAAAAAAAAGGAATAGAAAACATATCTTTGAGTTTTTTTTATTTGGGTGTCTCTTTGCTTCTTGAGTTCCTCGCACACCAATGCAAACATGGACATTCTGCAAGAAAATCACAATTCATTAGTAAGAGATCATATCTGGAAATATATGAGAATGGTCTGGTGTTGGAATTTATTTACCTTGAGATGATAATTCTTCTGGAGTTCATGGCGGAACAAGCCTGAGTAAATGTAAATGAGAACTTTGTTATTCTCCTGTATGAGGACAGTAATCTATAAAGGCTTTTTTTTTCTTCACTTTCCCCTCGGGATGTATCTAAAAACTAAATCACAGGCATTTGAACATTTCCAAGAGTGAGAGAATTTCTAATTCGGATATATTACCACCAAAAACGTACCTCAAAAAGTTGGTCAAAGTTCGAGTTCAACAAGTTGATCTTCCTCAGACAATAGTCTTTGCCACACAAAAATGCACAAACACACATTGAATAACACTTGAGCTACACACATGAACGAGGCTGAACGATTCGATAATCCATTGTTATTGAATTGTATATACCTCGATGAAGTAACCAGTGCCAATATCAACTAGAACCTTATCAGCATCATCAAGTTTCCCAGGCACGTAGAGAGAGGCAGTGAGTGTGGTACAAGCATCTTCTTACCTATATAGTCATTCAAAAATCATCAATCACTGAATATCAGTTTGAATAATTAGAGACTATAAAATGACTAAGACGGTGATGCAAACGGACCTTGAGGTCGAAGGGAGAGATCGGGACCAACTCCAGCTTCTGCTGTTCCTGATCCTGGGTTGCTGTACCACGACCCGATCTTCTCCTGCACACATCACAGTATAATCATTAATTATCAGACAGATCGAAAGCAAAGAGAAAGAAGATAGACTGTATGTATTTTGGTGGGAAGGGATGATACTAACAATGTCTTTGTCTTCGTTCTTCTCTTTCTCCGCTTTCTCATTTTCTTCCTCTTCATCAAGCTCCGTGTATGGATTCACAAACACATTTGCCTCGATTATCTTGATCTCCTCCTGCAAAGAACCATCTCAGGAGGCTGAAAACTACTCGAGAAGAACACAGTGAAATGATGAGAATTTTTAGGAACTTACAAGAGCACAGTGTAAAGACTTTGTTGAGAACAGGACAATGATACTCTCCTACAATGGCATCCACATAGACCATTTCAGTATATATCTCAAGGATGAAAATCACACACACAATGAATGAGATTAGTAAGAGAAAGACAGAAGAAAACCTTGGGAGAGGAATTAGATCTTCTCCTGAAACTATAGTTCTGCAATCCAACGGAAAATAAACTCAATTTCAAAATCAATAAGGCAAATCGAAGCTGCAAGAGGAGATTCTATATAAAACTGTCGAGGAGCAACAACATACGACGCAGCGATAGAAAGGAAGACTCTTGAAAGGAGTACGGTTCTCTTTGGATTTAGCTCCTCCCCACTCTGCTGCCCACTCCGTCTTCGTTACGAACATGCGATCTTTGCTGTACTGTTTCTTCCTACAAAATCAGAAATGGAGGAGAAGTTTGAAAACGAAAAACAAGTTTCAGAAGATCAAAAAGAAACAAGGAACCGGTGGTCCGCCGCAAAGCGAAATAACAATAAATCAAACAAGATCTTTGATATTTCAGAACCCAGTTTCAAAATCATCAGGTGAAAACTGCAAATCTTTGATAAAGATGGAAACTTTATTGGAGAATCGAGTTGCAATTTACCGGTGCTTCTCTCCAGTTGTTCACCGAATGAGATGACGCGAAGAATCCTACGCAATTAAAAGCTTACTAAACATTGCAGAACCCAAGATTTGACAAGAGTTTAGGTGACTTGAGGAAGAAATTGGCACTGCCTTCCGATGCAGAAGAGCAGGAAGCAGGATGGAGAATCTCAATACGAGAGAGAAGCGTTGAACGAGAGAGACGAGAGCGTAATGGAAAAAATAAGAAGAAGAAACAAAAATTGGGATTAAAAAAAAAAACGGTCAAAAACCATTACTAGCCGTTACCCTTCTTCCTTCACCTCACCAAAGTTAAACAACATCAAACCGAATATATGATTCTATGTATTAAGATAGAAGTCTATGTAAGTATTTAACTAGAATTTTATATACTGACAAATTTGAATTCTATGTATAAATATAGATTTTTATGTGAAATTGATGTATTAATAAGATATTCTTCTTGAATTAGAGATATGTTTGGGAAAAACTAATAAATAAGATTTCAATTCCAAATCCCACTAAATTATACCGGCTTAAAAAGTCCATTAATCAAACCAAAATCTAATTATGATTTTTTTTTTTTTTTACTACCAATGCAATACATTGCCTAATAAGCTTTTGTTTTCATATCTCAGAAACTCTAAAACTATATCTAATGGTCTTTCAAATTTCACTTTTTACTTCATTTTGAAGAAAAAAATAAAGAAATTTGCTCCAATGATCCTTTCTTCTCATTTTCAAAATAAATTGGTATAAAGTATTAATAAACTTTTGTTTTCATATCTCAGAAATTCTAAAACTATATCTAATGGTCCTTCAAGTTTCAAATTTTACTTTTTACTTCATTTTGAAGAAAAAAAAAGAAATTTGCTCCAATGATCCTTTCTTCTCATTTTCAAAATAAGTTTTTTGAAATTTTATTTTATTACGATGATAAGAAGAAATCTTGTAAATGTATTTCACGAATTCATACTTCAATAGCTTGTAAAATAATACATAATCTATATACTTTATACTAACTATTGAAATCAAATGCTGGAATAGCTCAGTTGGTTAGAGCGTGTGGCTGTTAACCACAAGGTCGGAGGTTCGACCCCTCCTTCTAGCGTTTTTTTCGCTATTTTTGTGTGTGTTTGTTTCTTTTCTTTTTGGGTCCTTTGTAGAATATAAGGTACAGAATAATGAATGGCCCACGAGTTCAGAAGTCAGGATACACATCGTAATAACTTGTTCGACGAGAGGATCTAAAAAACCGACAAGACACGTTCAAGATAGGCAGAGTCTGTGTTGTGTCCCGAATACGACAGTGGTCCGACAGTTAATTTTATCAATAGTATTGCCATATGACAATACATGGAACGTAAATCACAATTACGTAATTTTGTATATAGACTATATTGATAAAACTTATATAACTAATCGCATTATTCTAAGGATTTCGAATGGATTTTACCAATCGGAATATATTATAAGTCAAATTTCACATTATAATGTACCATTTTATTACCAAATGAAGATATATACTCCACAACAGAAAATGTTGACCAAAGAAAACTAACAAGTTTCAATACAATGAATGCTCCATAAAACGAGAAATTATGATTGGACCTCCAAAACATAACCATCCAAAATCTACATTATTTTCTACTCTTTTGTTTTGATCTTTCATTTATTTTTAGCTCTATACTTATCTCCTTCGTCGATTATAAAACACAGATTTCCACTCGCTTGTTTAAATAAACTCTTTTTTTTTTTGTTCTTCTTCAAGAAATGGAGAGAGATCTCGCTCTTACCAACCGCCGTAAACCATCGTACTTCACCGGTGGGTGCTTGAGTTCGCCGTCTTCTTGTCTCTCATTGATCCACAGAGATACAGAGTACGCTCGAATCGGTAACCACAACAAGAAGACAAGATCAAGTCCGATATTAAGGAATTTGCTAAGAAGATTATTATTGGTTACAAGGTGCGGGTTCGAGAACACGAAGCCGAAGACGTTAATGAAGTTTCACTACGATGTTGTGAGTTATTCGCAGAACTTCGACGATGGCTTTTATCTACGTGATGATGATCGGAGAGCTTTTAGAGATTTCTGAATAACAGAGTCCCGATCAGTATCACTGATATACATATAGCTGTTCTTTCTGTGTCCGTTTTATTTTCGAACATAACATTAAAATTTCGTAATGGACCCTTTCGGGTTATGGTAATGACATATTTGTTTCTGATAGTGTTGTATTTGTTTGTCATAAAGGTCCCCGCCGTTCCTTTAATTACATATTGTACCCACCAATTTTGTATTTTGTTTATTTACATGTAAGCCCGATACTTATGTGTTTCTTCTTACATGATCAGGCGTTTTTGTCTCCTCTTTATTCATCGTCTTCAACAAAGAATCTATACAATTTCGAAAATCAATCATGAAATAATTTATTTTTCCATCATATAGAGCTTTAGTTGCCTAAAAGGATTCATAATTTTACTTCAGAGTCCAACTGTTGGGGATTAAAGGTTAGTTGTAAGAGTATGCTCACCAACTGTTCGTTGAAATTCCTTAATACATGATCATGATAAGGCAAAGATAACCTTGATATTCATTAGTTGTAACGTAAGTGACTTTTATGTTTAAATTATCACGTCGTATTCGAATCAAACTTATTTTATCGTTTTGGTTAGCATTTGTTTATTCTTATGATCAATCATGTTTGCCTGGGTTTAGTAGTTGTTTACCACATTTCGCAGATAAGACTTAGTTGAATGACAAAAGAAAAATTCCGTGGTTACAGGGATTTGATTCGTACGGAAGAGGAGAACTTCTCTCAGCCATTGATCATCAAATGGGGAAAGATTATGATATGAAGCAAGCAGAGTGCCTTATGGTTGTGGGGTTATGGTGTGCCCACCCTGATATAAACTCTAGGCCTTCGACAAAACAAGCCATCCAAGTATTGAACTTCTGTTTTCTTCATTATCACAGCCAAATTTCTTGTGGACAACGTTAAAAGAAGCATTATTCAGGTAAGACATACCTACCATATCTTAGCTGAGCTGGTATATATTTTTCTCTTGGTTTTACTCTTAAAAGATTATTATTGCTAAGTATATTACCATTCAAGAATCTGTTGCATTTTTCAGATGTTGCCATATGTTGGGGAGAGTTAAAAACATAATATTGAGTTGGAGTAAGTCATCCTGTTTGAAGATTTTTTATAGCGTTGGTTTGACTAGAGATTTAAGAAAAGTCAAAATATACAAAAAGAAGAAATTTCATGTGTTCAGGAATCAGTGAGAGTGATATGTTGGGATGAGCCCTAAAGTAAGCATCTTTTCTTGACCGCTCTCTTTAATTCCTTGATTGGATTTTTCGTCTTCTGTGACTTTATGATATTAGATGAGCGCCATCTTTTCTGTAAATATTTCTTCTTCTGTGACTTTATGATAATTAGATCAGCGCCATCTTTTCTGTAAATCATTCTTCTTCCTTTTAGATGGCCAATTCAATCTTGCTCCTTTCTCTTATCCTCCTCCTCCCTTTTGCTGTTGATTCACTTTACTTCAACTTCACCAGTTTTCAACCAGGTGATCCCGGGGACATAGGTTACCACGGGGATGCATCTCCCGATGAAGATGGAACCGTGAGCTTCAACAACGGTTCACATACATCTCAGGTTGGTTGGATTACTTACTCCAAGAAGGTTCCTATCTCGAGTCCTAGAACTGGCAAGGCTTCCGATTTCAACACCAGCTTCTCCTTCAAGATCGATGCTCGAAACCTTTCAGCAGATGGCCATGGGATATGTTTCTTTCTTGCTCGTGTGGGAGCTCAACTCCCTGCTTACTCAGTTGCTGGTTTCTTGGGTCTCTTCACTCGAGACGATATCTACAAATCTTCATTCCCTCTCGTCCATGTCGAGTTCGACACGTTCAGCGACCCAGGCTGGGATCCTAGGGGCGTTGGATCTCATGTTGGGATCAATAACAACTCACTTGCTTCTTCCAACTTCACCTCTTGGAACGCAAGCAAGCACAGCCAAGATATTGGTCATGCACGGATCTCATATGATTCTGCTGCTAAGAACTTGAGCGTGACCTGGGGTTATGAGCTAACAGATGATCCAAAGGAGAATTCAAGCCTTTCATACATCATCGACCTCGTAAAGGTTCTACCATCAGAAGTTATGCTCGGGTTTATAGCCGCTGCTGGTGAAAACACAGAGGAACATAGACTCTTGTCATGGGAGCTCAGTTCAAGTCTTGATAGCGAGACAGACAACAACAGGATCGGCCTTGTAATTGGCCTTTCGGGTATCATTGTGCTGGCCTTTTTGGTGATCACAATCGCTGCGGTTTGGTGGCGGACGCAAAGAAGGAGGAAAGCAAGAGAGATGACAAACACGATATCGATAAACGAAGACCTCGAAAGGGAAACAGGACCAAGAAAGTTTTCTTATAAGGACCTCGTGTCTGCAACCAACGGATTCTCAGAGCATAGGAAGCTCGGCGAAGGAGGGTTTGGAGCGGTTTACAGTGGGAATTTGAAAGAGATCAATATGATGGTTGCGGTGAAGAAGCTGTCGGGTGGTTCTAGGCAGGGAAAGAAAGAGTTTCTAAACGAAGTTAAGGTCATCAGCAAGTTAAGACACCGGAACCTGGTGCAGCTCATCGGTTGGTGTAACGAAGGAAAAGAGTTTCTGCTGATATATGAGTTGATGCCGAATGGTAGCTTGAACTCTCACCTCTTTGGTAAAAGAACACAAGTACTCTCATGGCACATAAGGTATAAGATAGCTCTTGGTTTAGCCTCTGCTCTGCTTTATCTTCATGAAGAATGGGATCAATGTGTGCTCCACAGAGACATCAAGGCAAGCAACATAATGCTTGACGGTGATTTCAATGTGAAGCTAGGTGATTTCGGGCTGGCTCGGGTTATGCATCATAAGCTTGATTCCCATAAAACAGGACTGGCTGGAACTTTTGGATACATGGCACCTGAATATGTGATGACAGGAAGAGCAAGTAAAGAATCTGATATATATAGCTTTGGGATTGTTTTACTAGAGATTGTCACGGGGAGAAAATCGTTGGAGCGAACAAAAGAAGATGAAGAAGAGGAGCAAGAAGAAGAAGAAAACAGTGATACAGAGAGCGACGAGAAGAGCCTTGTGGAGAAAGTGTGGGAGCTTTATGGGAAACAAAAACTGTTGGTTTCAGGTGTGGATGAGAAACTGGGTGATGATTTCAATATGGAAGAAGCTGAGTGTCTTCTGGTTTTGGGGTTATGGTGTGGCCATCCTGATAAAAACTCGAGGCCTTCCATAAAACAAGCGATCCAAGTCCTCAACTTTGAGTCGCCATTGCCTGATAATCTTCCATTGAAGAGGCCTGTTGCTACGTTTTACACCTCGTCTTCTTCTTCTCCCTCCGTTAACTCGAGTAGAGCTTCAATAACGTTCTCAAGCAACCAATTTGGCCGTTAGCTGAAGATTTGAGATCACTCTAAATTCTTACACTGCCTGTGTTTATCTTTTATGTGTTATATATTTGTACATGCTCTTCATGAAGCATCCCTATTTTTTGTGGAATTATCTTTAATCCTTGCGTTTAATTGTAATTCTACTATTTATTTTCCTTTACATGTTTTGAAACTCTTTTGTTGACAAGAGTGTGAGTAAATATAATAATATGTTTTCATGATCAAAGCTTCTTGTGCAAACTGTATGTTCCTTTGTCTCGTTTTTTTTGGTTTCTACTTTCTTCTTATGTTGCCTGTGTCTTATCTATGACACGTGGAATGTTCGTGGTGGTCGGAAACTCGGAATAAGCGGTCAAGGTCGTTATTGTCGTCGTTTGAATAAAAGTCAGACCCACCAACCATCCAGAAGATGCTAACGTGGGCTTTAGGCTATTTCCAAAACAAGGCCCAATTAAATACTAATGGGCCTCAACGAATTAGCTCTCCTCTCTCTCTTTTCATTTTCATGTCTCGTGATTTTGAGCTTCACATGTTTCCAATATTGGTTCTTCTTCTTTTTTCTCTGTTTCTCGATAATTAATAAGCTCGATCGAAATCATAAAAATAAAAACGTATAACAATTAATGAAAAAGGTGAATCAAATTACGGCTGGAATAAATGAGGAACAGCGCGGGTAAATCAGGTTGGTATATGCTTCTACAACGTTTGATAATGATATAACATTTGACCTATATCTTTGATGAAACCTGCGTCTTTTCCCTTAGGTAATTTTTGTGCCATGTCTCTTTCTCGCTTTAACTAATTAGATATATAATAAAAAATTCAAAAAAAATTTATACAAAACTAAGAGTTTGGACTGGAGAATGTTAATTTGTTAAAAACTCGTTTCGTATCAATTTATATAGATTTATCTATAGGTGAAAGAAGAAAAACAAACAAACATGCATATTGTAGATCACGGATTTAAATGACAATAATTAGACTTGTTCGTCATAAGTAAATTTCAGCTATCAATTTAATGCTGTACATGAGAAAAAAATATAAAAACAATGGTTTAAACTTTACACAGTTAAAAATAATTATAAAATTAAATCGGACATGCGCGGTTATCATTTGCAATTGCGGTAGATGGTTTTGGATTTATGCAGGTATGTTAAAAAAAAATAGGTGTAAGTTGTATGTATTAGAGGATGATCGGTTCAGTCTCACGAGAGATCCATTCTTCAAGCTCTCACATGTTTCCCATTTTATCTTCTCCGTTCTCTCGTGTTTCTTCACAGATGGAGACGTTTTATATATCAATCATCGCTACACAATCTTCTCTTTTTTTTTTTTGGTCTTATTATTATTTTTATTCTATTACCAACGGACTTATTATATATTACCACATTATATACATTGGCTCGACGATATATTGTGTAATTGGAATTTAATACGTTTATATAAGAACCCAATTGAATGGTTCTGATGGCACTTCACTAATTCGACGATCACTAGCAAATGTCAAATATTGTGACTTTGTGAGTTTTAGTTGGGAATTTAATCATATAAATTAGCGATACCCCCAAACAAAAAAGGTGATAATAGATGTCGGAGATTTTAGGGTTCATGGTCAAAGTTACAAATTAAAAAAAAAAACTTTACAAAAAGTTAACTAATGTTACTTTTCTCCTAAACCCTATTTCTCTCTCGAATTAATTTCCATAAAGCTAAAAACTTTTAAAAACCTGCTTATATGTTCAAACTATAAATTGAATGTTTCGGTCTAACAATTGTTTTGATCGATGATTTGGACGCATATAAATCCAAATTTTGCAGATAGTACGTATACACGTTGAATTATGTATACTGTGTTCATAGTTATCTATTTATTCTCAATTTCTTGGCAACAATAAAAGATATCTAGATAAACATAATAAAGGTTAACAATATTTTGTTCCAATAGTTTTGGTTTCCTTAATAGAGCAGCATACGACTGACAGCTATACGTATATAGCTGCATGTATGTATATGTAGAGGAATAAAACGTTATTTGTATATATATAAACAATCTATACGTATTAAGGATTGGTGCAGTGAACACTTCACACATATAAAAAACGTTACCTCAACAACAGAAACAAGACACATAACAAATTCTATCCGATTTGTTCCGATCAATTGCACAGTTATATATGTTCTTCTGTCTTTTCTGCCACTTCATGTCTCTCTCTCATCTTCTCTTTTGTCTCCATTATCTCTCACTCATCTCTCTCTCTCTCTCTCTCTCTCTCTCTCTCTCTATCTGTACATAGATATTAACTACGAAGAGATTTTATGATACAATTAGTCAAAATGTAATAAAAGAACACCACAGGTCCACAGTTTAAATATATAAATGGCGGTTTATGAGCATATCTTGCTGCCAAAAGAGTAGATATAATATGTTTTTGATACATGGTTTTAGAATTCTTTTGATGTATTATCAGTAAAATTATAAGCACCTAAAAAAATGACATCCCAACACAATTATTATGTTTTAGCTGCTAAACATAAATATTTGTATATATTATGTTTATATTTTTTTTTATCATCAGTATTTTTGAACATTTGAATTAAGGCACTAGCAAAAACTCTAAAGTTTCATTACAAATACAATTACAAACGCCAAAAAAAAATTCAAAAAATTCAACAGTTTTGTAGTTTTCTTTAAGTAATTTAAGTTTCTCCAAGTTTTTGAAGACAAAACACACTTTCTGTTTACTTAAAATAAACGTATCTGTAATTATGTGCTCGGCCAAACAAACTTTATTTACATGCTCACATATATACAAAAATAATTTATGTATAAATACACACCATACGAAACCCTTTTACCGACTGTTCATCAACCTCTCTCTCTCCTCCCTACTTTACTTATTTCCTTCAAAGCAAGAAATCGAAAAGGAACAAACTTTTCTTCTTCCTTTTTCGCTCTCGTCCCATCATCATCATGTCCTCCCATACCAATAATGTCCCCTCTCCTAAGCCGGAACACCGTCTCTCCGGTACATCCCATACCAAAAAGCCACCGTCTTCCTCCGTCGCCGCTCAAGACCAACAAACCCTAAAATGCCCTCGCTGCAACTCCTCAAACACAAAGTTCTGTTACTACAACAACTACAGCCTCTCTCAACCTCGTCACTTCTGCAAATCCTGTCGCCGTTACTGGACACGTGGCGGTGCCTTAAGAAACGTCCCCATCGGTGGCGGTTGCCGGAAAACTAAAAAATCCATCAAACCTAACGCAATAACTCATTCTTCTTCATCTCAGAGATTTTTCTCTTCGATCATGGAAGATTCCTCCAAATTCTTCCCTCCTCCGACGACAATGGATTTCCAGCTCGCCGGATTATCTCTCAACAAAATGAATGATCTTCAGCTTTTGAATAACCACGAAGTTCTTGGCCTTAGGCCCATGGAGCAGGTCGAAACCACACCCGTTGATGTCGGGTCGGGTTTATCCTTAATGGGTTTCGGTGATTACAACAACAGCAACAACAACAACAACCATTCACCGGCGAGCTTCGCAACCACCGGAGCAAACGACGGAAACTTAGCTACTTCGATAGAAACTTTGAGTTGTTTAAACCAAGATTTACACTGGAGGCTTCAGCAACAGAGGATGGCTATGCTTTTTGGAAATTCTAAGGAAGAGACTGTTGTTGTCGAGAGGCCACAGCCGATTCTTTACCGGAACCTCGAGATCGTGAACTCGTCGCCGTCACCGACGAAGAAAGGAGAAAACCAAACGGAGTGGTATTTTGGTAATAATAATTGCAACGAAGGGGTAATTAATAACAATGATAATAATAATACAGGAGGAAGTGATCAATGGAACAATGGAATTCAAGCTTGGACTGATCTTAATCATTATAATGCTTTGCCATGATTCTTGGTAAGTTGAAGAAACTATATATATTTATAACTTTATATGTGTGTGTTTATGATGTAATGCCAAAAAATATTTATGTTTGTAGTTTTTTTTGTTGGTGTTCTTTGTAGTCAGCTTTTGTTGTTGGTTACTATTTTAGTATTTTAAGTTTCAATTTGTAAACAAAAAAACAAAATTGGGGGTGAAATTCAAGAATGAAGAGAAATACTATAATAGATTCTCTAAATTTGTGATATGTCTGTACTTTTAATTATTTTAATGTTGGAAAATTTCAAAACAGGATTTACTGTGCTTAAAGCTTAAATCATTATTGAAAGGGTCTTGGTTTGGTGATGAAATGTTCACTTAATGACTTATTGGATGGTTGTTATCGCAAGGTTAATCTTTTTTTCTTTTGTCAGCATCCCAAGGTTAATTATAATTCAAAAGTTTCTTCATAAGTCATTTTCAGTAAACAGAATGTCTCCTTGGGATTAGTTATATAGTACCTTTAAATAATTTACTTGGATTTTTAGTTTAACTGAGCCTAACTATTATTATACACACTCATTGAGCCACGCAGAATAATTGACCACCCACATCAACTGTAATACCCTAGTGAAAAATTAAAAACTCAATAAATAGTGTGTAATATTCGCTACAACATCGATATTTGTGCTGTAAATCGAAAATATAGATTGATGTTACGTTAAAAACTTGTCAGTGAAGTGTGGTCTAGTTAATGTACATATAAGCATATAGCATCTTAGTAGACACTGAACTATGTCGAGTCTATGTGAAACATAGAAATCAGGTCTTAGCCTTCTTTTGCAGTCTCTCTCTTTATCCCCATCCTTTAGCTTCTCTCTACTACATGTATATACGTATATATACACATGAACACGCATATACATGTATATGTGTTAATGTATGTATATGTACTATGTACATCTTATTACTGATCTAGGGTAAGGTCTGCAAGAACTAATGTCTTATGCAGAAGTAGGCATGTGCAAACGGACTAGTTCGACGAAATCCGAACTTGATTATTTCAGTTATTAATTGCATTAGTGTTAAATTGTCAAAAAAAAACTACACAACACATTACAGGTTCTGGAGGACAATGATTTTGGTTTTAGTTTCTAGCGCTTAATTTGAATTTTGGATTTCTAAAGAGAGGAGACACCACTTGTCTTTGTTCCACTTTTGTGGGTTCTAGAAGAATTTACTCTTGTAAATAATAGTCTACTTTACTTTATTTTATTTTTATAATATTTTTGTTTAGCCATGCATGCGACTATTACGTTATTTTCTCGATTACTTTTGAGTTTGACTACGAAGGAAATTGCGGTCCCTGTATGTGATGTACTTAATCTTTTCCTTTAAGCGTTTAAATGGTACAGCTACTAATAATTACTTTCTCATTACTGCTTATTTAATTTAATATCGCATATTTAATTAATTTAATTTGTGTTTGTTTGTTAATTGATCGATTATCATCGTGCGCATCGATTTTTTTCATACTGGGAAGTTGGGAACTACATGTATTTTGAATTCCCTCACTTTTTGATTAAGTATCGTTTAGAATTTTCAATGTAACGTTTGATCACAAAATTACAAATACATATATTGGCTTTATTCTCAGAAAATCACTTGCTTTTACGAGAGTGTTGCCTTTTTAAAACTAATTTGCAGAAAATAAAAAATCAAAACGATATTAAATTTGAAACGGAGAAAATTTAGTTTTCTGATTTGAAAGTTAAAGAGACAAAGCTATGTTAATATACATAAAGAAAAAATATCAGAAAGCAACTAAATATATATACACACAGACATCTACAAGAATTACTTTATTTTAGGTTCCGAACACTTTTCAATGTTTCGATCACTTAAAAGGCGATGTTGGCACTTTTGCATACTACAATGCCCCTTTAAGCTTTTTATGAATGATCATTAGTAAGTTTGCTTTTTAAGATTTTTCATCCTAATTAAGAACATTGTCTTTTGGATATCTTAGCTTTTTGTTTTCGTCTCTTTATCTTACCTTTATTTTCTAAAAAGGTAACAAAAATCGAGAATTAATCTTTTCTTGCTTTTGGTCGACGATGTAATGTCGTTCCGATGTTATCGAAAAAATGTGTAGTGTTCATAATAAAATGAATAGATAAAAAACGATAGCAATATTTTTGATGATTTAATGAAACGGATAGACAGCGAAGGAGCATGATGAATGTGAGTACAAGTGAACGTAACTGCTTTTATATTATACAATATGAATAAATTTAATATGTCGCTATGTCACGGCTTTGATACAACAACCTAAAACCAATTGCGCGAGAAAGCTCACGATTTTACGACTCGTGAGAGAAGGAGATCGTATAATCAATCATCCTGTCTATTCTGAAATATCTATTACTATTTTATAAATGTCTATTGATCTTTTAGCAACAACGTCAGGTTTGAACATATACACAAACGAAAAATGAGTTGCATCGTTTGAAATGTTGAATGCATATACATGTGTATATTTTTTTTAGAATTCTGTTTTACATCTAGAATCTCATACCGATTTTATGCTACTATGAAGCCTTTTTTTTATATATTTTAAAACTGATTAAAGCGCACACACATGCATGTATGAAAGTGGGAAGATTGGTGAAAGAAGTAAATCATCCTCATCATCCCACTTGTCAAGATAGGAAAAAAAAGTGGAAAGGTAACATTGGTATCCCAAACGAGCAAACAAAACAGAAAAACAAGACAAACAAATTACAACGTTTTGCGTTTCTTTCGAACCAAGTTTTCTACATGTGTCCGTTCGATCCTATGAACAAATACGAAAATTTTGTCATAACCTCATCGACAAAATAACGTCTTTTGGTAATGATGAAGGACAAGAAAGAAGATAAAACTTCCTAACACAAAACGAGTTACATGTTTTCTATCACGTCATTAGCTTTTTCCCTCTTGGTAACCGAAATTTTTATTGTTTTTAACGATTAACTTTTGGGGTTATACTTATATATAACACACAATAACTCCAAAGTGTTAGATTCAAAAAGCTTTATGTATCACTTTATTTCAAATTCGACTTTGGCTCTAGCTATTCAAATGTTTTTGAAAAAGCTGGTTTTTCTTTTCAGATGCTCTAAATAAATATAAAATTACCTACCAATTGACTTGATTTTCTTACAAAAATATTGAAAGGAAAAAAATCTGCTAATTCTGTTCTGTATTGTATTAGATCGTTTACTTTCAATCATAATTTACGTTTATATTAAATAAATAAACAAAACTACTATTTGACCCTTTTCTGCTTTTGTTAAGACTACAAGTTTACTACAACTAATGATACAAAAATGCTGGGCTCAATTCTATTTCTCGTTTACGGTTCATGTCAAACGGGCTTAGATCGAATACTAACCTAGGCCCATTTCATTTACCAGTAATCTCCACACGAACAAGACCCATCTCTGAGACGATGAGACCTTTTTGCGTCTCTACAGATAATCTCTTTGCTTATAACTCTTTGCGATTGCGCGTAACAGAACGTCCGAGTGGTTAAAAGAGTTATCACAGGTAGGATTCGTCGTTGCTCACGGAAGAAGAAGCTTGACGTGATGAGTCCACCAAAAACTCCATTTTTCTTTGCTTTTTTCCCTCCTTAATTATTTTAACTGTATATTTTTTTTTTTTTTTGGTGTGTTTAATCATTTCGTGCGTAATGTAGTATCTTTTTGTATGTTAGTGTTAATTTTCAATTATACTCATTCTATAACCCTAATCTAACGTTCGATTCATCATCATGGTACACATTCATGTAGTTAATAATGTCAGTGAGAGTGAAATAGAAAAACTTTAATAAGTTTAATTTTAGACATGAGAAAGAGAGGCATACATACACGTATATTCGCGATGGTATGAAAGCGAAACATGATATAAAAAACGAGAATGATGTGAAAATGAAATATCATATAGAGTGCTTACTTTATAATATTTGTTTTTTCTTTGTTTTCCATGATAAATTCTTCTTAATTATAAGGGAGTGGTGCTTGGCATGATTAAAGCAGTGATGTTTATATCCAACACGTGAATTTATTATCACCATCATATCGTATAATATAATGTTTTCCCATTATAAATTATAGTTTGACTATCAAAGGTCTAACTCTTGTATTCACTTATGACCAAAGTGCTGGAGAAGTTTCTTAAATTCCCTAAAGCGCTGGGCATTTTCATAGGAGAAGATGCTCCTGTTTTGGTATTCATATAAGTTGATGATTTCAGGTAAGTGAACTTTTGGTTAATTTTTATGGTTTTCTAATTGCAAGCTTCGATTTACAGCTTGCTATATAATTTGTGTCTCTTAACTAGATATCCTAATCCGAATTAGTTAGCCCAGACCTTTAAGCCCATTAGATAAGGCCCATAAGTTTTGAGTACATATATATCAAAGTTGCAAGTAAAAAGAAGCTTAATCGTCTTCGATCTCATAACATCTTCGCCGTGAGGTTTCCATAAACGAAAGGTAAGATGGTCGATAAACTCCTCAAAAGCACTCCTTGGTCAGTTTTTTCTCGTGAAATTTTGAATTCGAAATGTTAAATTTGGTGGTCTTTGAGTTAGATCTCTCTTTACCGTGAGTTTGGTTTCTATGTGAATTTCGATCTCACGACTCTTTTGATCGATGCGATTATTAGTCTGATAGTCCTTTTGTTTACGAATTCGAAATCCAGATTTTGTTAGTCATATGATGAAGATCCACCTTGTTTGGATGATTTTTTCCGTAACCAACCTTAAAAAGCTTCGTTTTGCCCGGATCGAGAAAGATGTCGTGTTGTTTCCTCTAGAAGACTAAATACGTATCTGTGAATGATTCATTGTTTGCTTAAATGTTTAAAAGGATGATAAACAACAACAAGAAGCCGTCGCCTGAGTACTTTGTGTCGGAGGTAACGGTGTGGTGAGACATGGACAGGTGTCCGATTCCCGATGGTTATGATGCAGGCAAGGTCGGTCCGTGTATAAAGTCGGAGTTGGAGAAGTTAAGCTACTCTGGTCCTCTCACCATCTTTGGCGTGGGCGACCTAGAACGCATCCCTGACCACGTCTTGCAAGCCTTATTTTCCACCACTGGAATGGTTCTTACAAACTTCCCAACCGGTTAATCTTCTTGCCACTAGTTATTATCTCAATTAGGGTTAATTTTCAACTTGTTTGCTTTCCTTTGCAGAAATAAGCTGCACGAGCTTTTTGACGTCAATGCTTTGGGGTAGCAGACTTGCACCTCCGGCTACAATATTGCTGCTTTCAGTGTGACCTTGATAGATGTTGTTTCTGAACCAGTTTGGTTTACAGATGCCAAGTACCGTGAAACTGGTAAATTTGTTTGCAAACTATGCCGCTTTGATTGCGAAAGCTTTGAACAAGTCACCAACCATCTCAAGGGTGAAGAACATACACGGATGGTAAGCATCCTTTTGTGCAATCAATACATTTGTTATGTTCCAAAGAGATTGACCCCCATTATTGGTTGTCAAGCAGGAGCTTGAACTGAATTCTCCACAAGATGAAGCCGAAGAAGATGAATGTTGATGCCAAAGGCAAGTTTCTTTACGAGTTGATTCTTTTCATTTTAACAATTGCGTCACAACTGTTCACCAAATGTGGACATGATTTTTGTTTTAACTGGCTTTCATGCTATCAAACATTGCAGAGAAAGGCCAAGAAGTTGAAGATGGACGTATGAGCATCAACCTCAAGCCCAAGAAGTGTATTAAGGCATCCTTGAGCCCTCATTTTTTAAGTTGCAACTTATGATTAGTTAAATACTGATGATATGGGATTACTTTGGCATGCTTAAATTATGATTGGACTGATATTTGATAGAAAATTGAAAACGCTAAGAATATGTGAAGCTTTAAAGTATTTTATTTTTAACTGGTAATTATAATTATTCTTAAATACCCGAAAGTCTTTATGGATCCCTTTATTTCAGCTCCAGGATCCATCAACTCAACCAAGTATCTAACCGCAGCACGAGTTACATGTCTTCTATCACCTCATTAGCTTTTATTGTTTTTAACAATTAACTTTTGGAGTAGCTAGCAACACAAAAACTCCAAAATGTTAGATTCAAAAAGGTTTATGTATCCCTTTCTTTCAAATTCGACTTTGCCTCTAGCTGATTCAAAAAGCTGATTTTTTCTTTTCACATGCTAGAATAAAATAAAAAAAACCACCTACCACTTGACTTAATTTTCTTATAAAAATATTGAAAGGAAAAAATTCAGCTTATTCGATTGTACTGTGTTAGATCGTAAATTACGTTTTCATTAAATAAATAAACAAATCTTACTATTTGACCCTTTTCTGCTTTTGTGCCACAACACTGCCATTTCATCTACAAGAGTACAAGACCACTACAGTATAAAACCAATGATACAAAAATGTTGGGCTCAATTCTATTTCACGTTTACGGTTCATGCCAAACGGGAACTTAGCCAAATATAAACTTAGGCCCATTTCATTTACCAGTAATCTCCACACGAACAAGACCCATCTCTGAAATGATGAAACCTTTTTGCGTCTCTACAGATAATCTCCCTCTGTATAACTCTTGATACCATCTTGATCCAATTGTGACAATCGACACAAACTCTAAGGTTCTTTAGGATCCTTATACTTCCACCAGCATTTCTCCAAACTGCAAAAGCTATGGCCAGTTTCTCGCTATGTTGATGCAAAGACCTCTCTTTTGCAGCTTCCTCCATGTCTTGAAACACACAGCTTTTGTCCTCAACATACCCCAAATCTTTAGCCTTTTTGATCAGCTCTTCAAGAGTTTCGAGAATCTGCTCCGAGCTTGGATGCGAAAACAAATCTCCAGCCATGAACGTGTGCGTTTCTCTATCGACTTCAACCCAACTCATCGCTGGACTCTTCTTCAGCTTCATCTCCTTCATCTCGCTCTTCATCTCAACCACTCTGTTCCATTTCCCCGTGGATGCGTAGATATTTGACATTAGAATGAGAGTTCCTTCATCTCCAGGTGCCATCTCAAGGATCTTTCTCTTTATCCGCTCTGCCATCTCAACATTTCTATGAGTTTTACAGGCGCTGAGCAGCGTCCTCCACAGAACCAAATCAGGGTTTATCATCTCGTTTACAAGCGTTTTCGCCTCATCTAATCTCCCTGCTCGTCCAAGCATATCTACCATACAAGCGTAATGATCATTCGTTAACACGATCTTCTCCTTTCTAAAGGAGTCAAAGAATCCACAACCTTCCTCAACTAATCCAGAGTTGTTACAAGCCAAGAGCACGATCAAGAGTGTTACATCGTTCGGTTGCAGTCCAAGACTTATCATCCTCTCAAACAACTCGAGAGCTTCGCGTCCGAAACCATTCTGTGCATAACTATACATCATTGTGTTCAAAGATATAACATCAACTTCACTCAAGGTCTCAAAAACCGACCTTGCCATGTCCGAGCATCCACATTTCCCATACAGGTCGATGAGCCCTGACCCTGCATACTTATCTCTAACCAAACCATGTTTAGTCAATATCCCATGGATCTGCCTTCCTTCTTCAAACATTGCGAGATTAGAACACCCCCTGAGAGCACTTGACAACGTAAAAGAGTTCGGCTTTATCGAATCACGCATCATCTTTCGAAACTCGGTTAGTGCCATTTCTTCTCTACCGTTTTGGACAAGACCCGATATAAGAGACGTCCAAGTAACCTGATTTGGGTACTCAATACACTTGAAAACACGCAAGGAATCATCGACTAAGCTGCATCTCAAATACATCGTAAGAAGAGAAGTTTGTGAGCCAAGAGCAGAATCAAACCCAGACTTGATCATAAGTCCATGAATCAACTTGCCACTACCTATATCCTTCAAGTTTCCGCAAGATATCAATACACTAGCGTAAGTGTACTCGTTAGGCTGGACTTCCTCCACCAACATACTCTGAAACGCATTCACAGCTTCTGCATCTTCACCTTTCTGCGAGTAGCCAACGATCAAAGCTGTGATCAAAACCACGTCTTTCTCCTCCACGCGGTCTAATACTAACTTCGCCTCCCTCGTTTTGCCCAACTTAACATACATGTCCACGAGGGCGCTCCCAACGAACAAGTTCGAGACTTCCAAACCCAGAATCACGGCGAGTCCGTGGCTTCTCTGAGCTTCCTTCTCAAGACCCAAATCGGAGAAGGCCTTGAAAACACTGGACAATGTGTACTCGTCTGGCAAAACATTGTTCGTGATCATCAATCTATACACCTCAACAGCTTCCTTGCTTCTTCTATGCTTAATATAATATGCGATTAGAGAGTTCCATGTCACTATATGTCTGTCAGGCATTCCATCGAACAGCTGGCGAGCGTAACCGATCTCGCCACACTTCAAAGAAGCGTCGACGAGTTTGCTGCCGGAAAGTTTTACTGGAAAACCTGATTTGAGCATCTGGGCCTGGATGTTCCTGATTCCTGATATCGATCTTTCGTCTATGCATTGTCTGAGAAGCGGAGAGAAAGTGTGCGTCGTTGTTATGAAATTACCTGCGATACAGAGAAGCCTGAATTGACTATGAAAATAGGGTTCCGGTGAACCAAAGAAGCTTGGAATTCTAGAGAAGGCGATCAATCCGCCGTTAAATTTTCTTCTCATCGCCGACGCATTTTCCCTCCGGCCATTAACTGAGTATTTCAATTCATTGCCGGAATAAAAAAAACTGCGCCTTTTTCGAATTTCCATATGAAGGCCCATTATCTACTGAACTTGAATTATAGTGAGGCCCATTATTCTATTAAACTTGAAGTCTTGAATTATATTAAGGCCCATTATTCTACTGAACTTGAATTATATTAAGGCCAGTGAAGGCCCATAAAGGCCCATTTTGAGATCATAGTCTTCCTGGTTCTGGAGGATGCATTAGACTTTGAAACAAGCCGTTCTTCGAGTTTCTTCCTTTCTCTTTCTCTGAGTTTTCAGCATCGGAAAGATACAAGCTTCGAGGGATCGATGATCCGTCGAATACATTCACGGTGCGATGCAAGCTTGATTGGTTCAGTATCAACCCTGGTGGTGAAATTCTCAACGGATGTTGCAGTTACTTCTCCTTGCACTCTCCTCACTCGCCGGCCGTTTTGCTCCGTTTCTCCGCTAATTCGCACTATCCCGGCGGAAGAATTTGACCCGTCGAGTGTTCCACAACGTCTTCTCTCAATTCTCTCCAAGCCCAATTGGCAGAAGAATCCATCCCTGAAAGCAATGGTTCCGGCGATAAGCCCTTCTCATGTCTCATCACTGTTCTCGCTCGATCTAGATCCCAAAACAGCTCTAGATTTTTCTCACTGGATCTCACAGAATCCGAGATTCAAGCACAGTGTCTATTCTTATGCTTCCCTTCTTACTCTGCTCACCAACAATGGAAAAATGGTGGGTGTTGTGTTCAAGATCAGGTTACTAATGATGAAGAGCTGTGATTCAGAAGGAGACGCTTTGTTTGTTTTGGATTTCTGTAGGAAGACGAGTAAAGACGAAAGATTTGAGCTTAAGTATAAGCTTACGATTGTGTGTTACAACACATTGTTGAATTCGTTGGCTAGATTTGGATTGGTCGATGAAATGGAGAAGCTTTTTATGGAGATGTTGGAGGAAAAGGTTGATCCGAACGTTCACACATATAATAAAATGGTTAATGGGTATTGCAAGTTAGGGAATGTAGCAGTGGCGAAGCAGTATGTGAGTAAGATAGTTGAGGCTGGATTGGATCCTGATTTCTTCACAGATTCCTCTTTGATTATGGGTTATTGTCAAAGGAAGGATTTAGATTCTGCTTTTAAGGTGTTTGAGGCGATGCCTTTGAAGGGATTTCGTAGAAATGAGGTTGCATACTCTTACCTTATACATGGTCTTTGTGTGGCAAGGATGATCGATGAAGCGATGGACTTGTTTGTGAAAATGAAGGACGACGACTGTTATCCAACAGTTCGTACTTACACAGTGCTTATAAAAGCTTTGTGTGGATCAAAAAGGAACTCCGAAGCTCTTAACTTGCTTAAGGAGATGTCACAGAAAGGCATTAAGCCGAACAATCACACGTATTCGGTGCTTATTGATAGTTCATGTAAGCTCGAGGAAGCAAAGGAGTTGCTTGGTCATATGATTGAGAAAGGGTTGATGCCAAATGTAATCACTTACAATGCACTGATTAAAGTGTATTGTAAACACGGGATGGTCGAAGATGCGCTAGACGTTGTGGAGTTGATGGAATCACGTAACGTCCGTCCGAACACACGCACTTACAATGAACTGATACATGCGTTTTGTAAGAAGAATGTGCACAGAGCAATGGGAGTGCTTAATGAGATGCTGGACCGCAGGGTGGTTCCGTCTGTTGTCACTTTCAATTCATTAATCGAGGGGCAGTGTAGGTCTGGTAATTTTGATAGTGCGTATAGGTTGCTTAGTTTGATGAATGATAGAGGATTAGTTCCAGATCACAGGACATATAATAGTTTCATAGATTCTCTGTGTAAAAGAAAAAGAGTGGAAGAAGCCCGCGACTTATTCGATTCTCTCGAGCAGAAAGGTGTGGTTCCAAATGTGGTGATGTACACTACGTTGATTGATGGATACTGCAAGTCGGATAAAGTAGACGAAGCTCATCTTTTGCTTGAGAAAATGGTGAGTAAGAACTGCTTCCCAAATTCGAAGACTTTTAATACCTTGATCCATGGGCTATGTACCGACGGAAAACTGGGAGAAGCGACGTTGTTGGTGGAGAAAATGGTGAAGATGGGTGTACAGCCTACAGCCAGTACAGATACAATTTTGATTCATAGATTGCTAAAGCAAGGTGACTTTGATCATGCTGAGAGACGTTTTCACCATATGTTGACCTCTGGAACGAAGCCCGATGAGCATACATACACAACGTTTATTCAAAGCTATTGTAGTGCAGGGAGACTGCAAGAAGCTGTGGATATGATGGCGAAGATGAAGGAAGATGGTGTTTCTCCAGATTCGGTCACTTATTCCTCTCTGGTTAGAGGTTATGGCGATATGGGGCTAACAGATGATGCATTTGATGTCCTCAAGCGTATGCTTGATGCTGGTTGTGAACCTTCTCAACATACGTTTTTGTCTCTGATAAAATATCTGGCAGAGATGAAATATAGAAAAGAGAAAGGCGGTGCAACAGGACTCTGTCTGATGTCTAATATGATTGAGTTTGAGATTGTTGTTGAGCTTCTTGAGAAAATGGTAGAACACGGTGTTACTCCCAACGCCATATGCTACGAAAAGCTCATCATAGGTATCTGCGAAATTGGGAATCTCAAAGTTGCGGAAAGGGTATTTGATCACATGCAACAAAACGAAGGAATGTCTCCAAGTGAGTCGGTTTTCAATGCTCTTCTTGGCTGTTGCTGTAAGCTGGAAAGCTACAAGGAAGCAGCAAAGGTTGTAGATGATATGGTTTGTGTTGGTCACTTACCGCAACTAGAGTCTTGCAAGATCTTGATATGCTGGCTGTATGAAAATGGAGAACAAGAGAGAGGGGCTCGGGTTTTCCAGAATCTGCTTCAGTGTGGTTATTACCATGATGAAATAGCTTGGAAGATCATTATTGATGGTGTCGGGAAGAAGGGACTTGTAGAGGCGTTTTATGAACTGTTCAACGTTATGGAGAAAAGTGGCTGCAAGTTTAGCTCTCATACGTATTCACTGCTCGTTAAAGGACCTCCCGATAGCACATAAAGGGGTTATTCGCAGAAGCTAGCTAATGCAAATCTATGTAACTCGGATTCTTATTTGGGATGGGTAACTCGACCTAGGATCTGCAAGTAGCCTCGTTTTCCTGTGATAGTGCTACAGATCATACGATAAGGTTCGGCGACAATATAATATGTTTTTGGATTTAATGTGTGACATTTTCATTCAGTTCCACGCTATAGAAACTTGCATATTCAGTCTCTCTCATCACTGACGTTTTCGGTGTGTGTCAGGGTCATGATCCTAGCGTTCGTCCGAATCATCCTGGATCTCTGAGACATAACGGAGGAGTGAGTGTACAGTGAAAGGCTCACTAGCTTCTTGGTAAGGCACAGCAAATGTAAGTTATTGTTAAAAGTTGTCTTTTTGCTTGAAGAGAAGGAAAAACACAGGACAACCCCTAGGAGGACAAAAGCCGACATTTTTTGTTTACTGTTGCGTAGTTGAATTCTAGATTCTCCTTTGCAGAGTAGGCTTCGTTGTTTGAAGATGTCCGAGGAAGGTCATTAAAATCCAGTATTTTTTTTAAGGATAAAAAATATTAATATTTTTCTTTTGGTTCTTCTTTTGGTTCTTCTTTTGGTTCTCGGTTCTTTGATGTAAACTTAATTTTATTTATCTTCCACGCTTCAATCAATGTAAAGATTCACACGTCTCAATGTAATAACATACTCCTCGTTGCCACAAATAAAACTTTGACGTGTCAAGAGTATAATTACACAGACGCCATTGATAACTGCTAGATGTTCAAACATAAGGAAAAGAAGAAAGAGTTTTCTTTATATTCGCACAAAAAAAAAAGGAATACAAGAAGAGCTTTAGAGAAAATAATCATGGTCTTGCTGGTTTACCAATGAAGAGACAGACCATGGCTGAGCCAAACCGTAAACTTCATGTTGCAGTGTTCCCATGGCTAGCTTTAGGTCACATGATTCCTTACTTACAACTCTCTAAGCTCCTAGCGAGAAGAGGCCATACCGTCTCCTTCATCTCCACTCCTCGTAATATTTCACGTCTTCCCAAAATACCCTCCGGCCTTTCCATAAACTTCGTTTCTCTGCCGTTACCTCACGGCGTCGAACACCTCCCGGAGAACGCCGAGGCCACCACCGATGTCCCGGAGACTCACATCGCCTATCTCAAGAAAGCCTTTGATGGGCTCTCTGAAGCTTTCTCAGAGTTTCTACAAGCTTCCAGACCGGACTGGATACTGTACGATATCTTGATCCAATGGGTCCCACCAATCGCCGAGAAGCTCGGCGTGAGACGGGCCATATTCTGCACGTTCACTGCAGCTTCCATCGTCATCATAAATGGGCCAGCATCAATCATGATCCATGGTGGTGACCCTCGAAAGACAGTGGAAGATTTCATCGTGCCTCCACCATGGGTCCCGTTTGAGAACAACATAGTGTACCGTCCCTTTGAGGCTAGGAGGATGATGGAGTATCCCACGGCAGGTGTATCTGGAGCTGAACTGAACGATAACTATAGAACCGGTTTGGCTTACGCTGGCTCTGAGTTTATTGCGATTAAAACATGTACGGAGCTCGAACCTGAGTGGATTCAATTGCTCAGTAAGGTCCAAGGGAAGCCTGTGATTCCAGTCGGTTTATTTCCGCCTACAACATCGGATGATGATGATGATGAAGGGACATGGCTAAACATCAGAGAATGGTTAGATACACAGCGAGAGAAGTCTGTGGTTTATGTAGCTTTGGGAACCGAAGTGACCGTTGATAACAATGAGATTCAAGGCTTAGCTCATGGGTTGGAGCTTTGCGGTTTACCTTTCTTGTGGTCGCTAAGGAAGAGGAAGGGAGCTTCTGTGTTACTTCCTGATGGGTTTGAAGAGAGAGTCAAAGGGCGTGGAGTCGTTTGGACAGAGTGGGTACCTCAGAGTAGGATACTGAGCCACGGTTCGGTTGGTGGGTTTGTTACTCACTGTGGGTGGGGATCAACTGTGGAAGGGCTTAGCTTTGGTGTCCCTTTGATCATGTTTCCATGTAACCTAGACCAGCCGCTAGTCGCTAGGATGCTCGCTGGGATGAATATAGGCTTGGAGATTCCAAGGAACGAGCAAGACGGTTCGTTCACCAATGCTTCTGTCGCAGAGACAATCAGACTGGTTGTTGTTGGTGAAGAAGGAAAGATCTACAGAAACAGTGCTGCTTCTCTGCAAAATAAAATCTTCGGGAACAAGAGACTGCAAGATCAGTATGCGGATGGTTTTATCGAGTTTCTGGAGGATCGAAGATAAATTTGAACAAGATGTGTAATAAGAGAGTTGAGAAATAACACTGCACATGATCAAAAACTTTGTAAAATTCCAAAAGATGTCAACCTATAATCTGATTCTCTCTTTTGCGCAACAAGTTATACTTAAACTAGAATGACATATCAGATAGATACATTGACTCAAAAAGTTACACACGAGTAAGTACAAAATGCTATTTGGGAGGTGGAGATCTCAGCTTATCATCGGACTCATGCTTAAGAGAAGAGTCCCCTCCCATTAGTTGTTCGAATCCTTCAACCTTAACTGGTTGAGCCCTGACCGTTCCCGTTGTACTGCAAATAGAATGAGAGGACACAACTTTCAAAACCTGTCGACTAGGTTCTAGAACCATGTGACTAATGAGTTGTGAGGGGGCTACTTACGGTGTTTGCATTTGTGGAATTTGCATTGAAGCCAATTGTCTAAATTGGTTATAGCCGGGCTGTTGTTGTTGTTGTTGTTGTTGCAGATTCGACATTGCAGCAATCTGTTGCTGTCTGAGTTGCTGGTGTCTTGGGTTCATTGGGTTGAAGGCATTTCCATCTACTGCCATTTCAGAAGGATTCTCAAGCTTTACCTGAACCAAAGGCCGATCCTTTTCCATTTCCATATTAGGTCGCGGTGATGTAACTTGACGCCTACGCATTCTTTCTAGCTGTTGCTGCTGCTGAAAGGTTTGGGGATTAACCATTTGCTGCATCTGTGGATGCATTTGCCGCTGCATCTGCAATAATCAAGAACTCAGACAAGTTGAGAAACCAAAAAAGTATCCATTATCTCTTCATGCACAAAAGTAAAACCCAACACGATGCAAACTGATAAGAGCAACAAATCGTGCATCAAGCATTATTTTTCATACTTGTTGCGGTAACCGCATCGAAGCAGCTTGTTGCTGCAGATGTAACTGTTGCTGAAGCACTTGTGGTTGTTTCTGGTTTTGGGGAGGATGATTCCTAGTGCCATCTTTAACAAGCTCTGCTAAACTCCCGAGATTACTGAAACAAAGGGTCTATGAGGACAAAGCTATGAAAGAGAAAAACATATATGATAGGAAAACCACTTCATTAAGAAAAAGGATGGATCGTCATATATCAAAACCACTTGAAAAAAACTCACCTATATCCAGTAGTATTAAGGAACATCTTAATCAACTGCATCGCTGAATACTCCTTTTTGTAACTGTCAGTAAGAAGCTTCAAAATGCGGCCTAATTTACAGATATGTCTGCTAACCAACTGAGAGAAGACATCAATGGGAACCTCCGTTGCACCTTCAAACCCCATTGTCAGAAGCATGCGTGCGACAACTTTCCGAGACACCTGAGCAGCTTGTTCGTCACTAAAACCCAAACTTTCAGCTTTTTGACGGCGCAAAGCTCCTCTTTCTTCCATCCTAAGGTACTCAGGCATCATCCCAAGCCTCTCGACCATAACATGACTCCTTGTAGTAACTTGCGGTAGAGTATCAAGTACCCCATAAAGCTCTGGCTTTAAGCTGTCTTGTGATCTGGCAATCGGCGAAAGCGCAGTCTCGGGTACACAGTTCATCCTAAACATTGTCTCCGGAAGAAACAGTATATCATCTTCCGAAGTGCTTCCGTCGAAGCCAGAGCTTGGATGTGCACTCGATCTACTACTACTCATATGAACCGAACTTCTCACACTTCGATCTTCTAAAAAAGGTGCACGCTTTCTCTTATGACTATCCACGACTCTGAGGTAAGTAGACATCCCTTCAGGTGTGCGTTTGTCAGATTCTTGTCCTCCAACAGACATCCCGTATTTAAAACCATACCTTGAAATAAACTGAGTGTACCAAGTGTCCGGTAACTCCTCAAACCTAGACCTTTGAGAAAGATTACTGAAATCAGACTCACTACCTCTCGCACCAGAGCTAAAACTTGGCTTCGATAGGCTCTGAAACACACAGAAGAAGGTGAATCATTTCGAATTGAAGATTAAATTCTCCTTGGACATTTTCAATAAACAAGAGCTCCTTTGACTCACCTTGGGTAAACTCGGATTGTGGCAAATCCCTCCGTCTCGCTGAAACCCACCTTCCAGAGAAGCGTTCTCCAGAGTATAGTACACATCATCTCCGTGAAGCTTTAAATCTGAAAGTGGAAAATGGAAAAAACCCACAATTATTAAGAACCCGAAATCGCCAGGAAAAAAAAAATACTGCAGAAAAGAAGCCAACATACAGTTAGGATTGAGCTTAGACACCGCGATGGAAGAAACATCGGAAGCGGGAACGGAAGATGATGAAGCGGCGATTGTGTTGGATCGGAGGAAGAGGGAGACGGTTGCCTTGTCAAATAGAAGGGCGCGAACGCGGAGCTGGAGCTGAATCTGAGACCTAGACTTGGAATCATCAACGCGCATAAAAGCTTCCCAAGAAGAAGGAGAGGAAAGGTAATGGTGGAAGGACAAGTAAATAGAATCGCCGAGCCATGTACGCCACACGCCGGAAACCTCTAGTCTCCTCGCCAGATCGAAGCCACGACCGTCGTCGCCGAGAAGTGCCATCGTCAGTCTAATTTTGTCGTTCATTTTTGGATAGAAAGGTCTGTTTTGTTTACTAGTAAATGGGCTTACGATGTGGCCCATCGAATTATCCAAGTCAAACAACAAAATAAGAGAATTAGTAAATGGGCTTACGATGTGGCCCATCGAATTTCCAAGTCAGACAACAAAATAAGAGAATTAACAGTTCTAAACGAAAAAAAAAAAAAAATTACGCGCCAGGAAGGGGTCGAACCTTCGGCCTTCTGCTTAGGAAACAGACGCTCTATCCACTGAGCTACAGGCGCTTGTTGTAGGACACGCTACGTACAAAACTAAGATACTTAATGTTTAGTTAGTCCTAACATAAACTCCGCAATGAACTAAGCTTCGATGTAATTAATTTGGTTAGAGTTTAAATACAAAAAGGTATGATCATGTGAGAACAATATCCGCCACTTATTTGGATATACAAATATCTTGTTCGTCTGTTCCATTGATGGCGTCATGAACTATTTTCCATGTAGATGTAAACACTTCATGCCACATCCACTATCTATGTGGTTCGGTTATATTTTACATGTTTGAATTTTACGAAATACTATACTCTAATCCGTCGTTGGATTAAGTAATTACCTGATAATTTAAATTTTCGTTCAGAATAATACAAGTATCATGTAAGCCTATACACGCATCTTCATGTCACTTTTAGAAGGTAAATAGGAAAATCAAAGCAAAATTCGACTAAAAAGCAAAACCTAAGTGAATTTTCTGATTGAAACTGTGTGTTAGTGACTGTTTAATTAAGTGAGAGCAAAAGCGGTTAGACTGACTTCTCCGACAGAGCTTGACATTGGTGAGTTTGGTGGCCGTTTTGATTTCGACTTTGGGCCCCAAATAAGTAAGTGTGTGTGTGTGTGAGAGAGAGAGAGAGATTATATCTGGAGAGTCAAATTAGTTAAGAGGTTTAGTTCACCCACTATGCAAGAAAGGAAACCTCTTCTTAATATTACGTACCTATCTCATTGAAATTACCAATTAACTAATGACTTTATTTTAAAATGAAGTTTACGTTAAGATTTTTTGCATTTCACCAAAAACTTCAAAGATAATCATTTTCCAGCAACAACTTCACTTAACTCGTTGTTTTTATATGTGATCATCTAGATAATATTACAACAACTAATCTACACGTAAATGCAGATCCCTTTTGTAATTCTCGTAACGTAATTGAGCATTAATAGGTCAATGAACAAAATAATAGCATTTTTATTAAAAAATGCACTCCGACCGATCCTTCTCATTACTACATGGGTGAAAATGGAATATTGTTTAGGCCTCTTTTAGTGTACAATGGCGAAGTATGATACAATGAATGAACGCAAAATATTCCTGTAAATTTGTATGTGAAGCAAATGTTACTTCCCATCAATAATTATACTTATGGTAATAATCAATGTACTCTTTTACGTGTTACTCTAAGATATCGTATTTGTACACAAGGTCATTCATATAGGTTTGCTTGGTTTCTCTCACGAAACGTATTAAGTTTGTTCATTTTCATTATACAAGGTTTGTTAGTTAACGACTCAACTTTACTAAATATCCCGTATGAAGATTGACATATCTATGGTTATAGTTTTCGTTGGATTTGTTCTTCCACATGAATTGTTATTCTTTCAAAATTTATAATCATGATCGTTTCACGTAACCTCCTAAGTCAAAAACTGAATTGTATTTACCTAATTAACTTTAAGTGATTTTGGACAGCTTGACGTGGTGGGTCCAGCTCTGTCGCGCTTGATGTGGTACGGAATGGATAAACGTTTTTTTTAACTAAGCTTCATGATGACTCGTGTGACTGTCGTGTCGTTAACCAAAACACTCTCATAAATGTCGTATTTCTGGTTTAGTTTATAAAATCACAAACGTTTTTAATTTGATTATGTACGAGTTTAAAATAACGACGGCTCGGTCTAGGCCCTAGGGTGGTCAAGCTTCTTTGCCATATGTTTCAACTGTCTCTTCGGTGTCGCCACGACAACTGAAAACAAGATCGCATTTCGTTTACCTTGAATAAAAAACCACATTTTATGGCATTTCATAATTTTGTTTGTGTTGTCTTAAAAGGTTACATTAATGTGGAAAAAAATGCTTGATGCGAGACCAAACAAAAAAAAAAAAAAACAAGATGTCAGTAATTCACATGGCTAATATTAAATGGGAATTTTAGTGAAATTTGTAAATCGAATAAATAAAAAGTGAACCTCACAACCATCTTTTAAAGCAAAGAGGATGTCTTGTCTTCTCAATCACTGTAATTACGGGAATGCCATTGACCAGCTTCGGCTATTTCAACCGTCGGCGTGTCCGTTCGTTAAAATGCGTTAGTTACGGCATCGTATCTTTTCGTCTTCTTCACAATTAAAAAGAAATTCAAAAATATTTTTTTAAAAAAGTTAGAACCGAACTTGACTTGCATGTTGGAGTTGTATAAATATAGCAGAGATTCCAATCCATTAACAGTCATCAAAGTCTGGTCTTTTCTTCTTCAACCTTTTGGATTCCTAAATCGTCTAAGAATAACAATTTCTAAAGATAATACTCTTTAACGAGAGAAAACCAAAAAAGAAAACAATTTTAGAAATTCCTAATTACAAAAAAAAAAAAACACAAACCTCTGTGTTCCTGTTTCTCCGGATTCTCCCCGGCTCTGTGCTTTTCCATCTCCTCTCGGAGATGTTACTCTTCTTCCCTCTTTTGTGTTCTTTTTGTTTTCTGGGAGAGATTTTTATGAAGCTTTGAGTTTTTATTTTTATTTTTCTTCAAAGCTTCCCACAGGGAATCCCAAAGGACGAAAATTTCTCGGAGCTATGGCTGTTGAAGGTAATGCTAAAGTTAGATTTTTTGTTTACAAAAGTTCGTTAATTTTTCCGACATAAATTTCTGTTTGTCTTCTGGTTTTTCCTTTTCTGGATTTGTCTCCAAATTAGAATATCTTCCACTGAGGAATTTACGCGAATACGTTATGTACTGGTCGAGAAATTAGATAAAAACAATATTTTCTCGTTTCCTTAACAGAGATGGAGAAACAGATCAAAGGAAGCCACGAGAAGTCAGAGACGGAGAACAACGACTTAGGCATCGAGGATCCGTCGCCAAGATGCGTGCTTGAAATTCCGGTAACGAGTTCAGATTCCGATAACAGCAGCAGCAGCAGCAGTTGTAGCTCGTGCTCGCCTGATAAATCATCGTCGCCATTATCGACGGCTCCTACGAACGGTCGTCAATGGAACAAGATGATCGAGTCTATCAAGAAGAAGTCCATAAGGAGATTCTCAGTCATCCCTCTCCTCGCGAGCTACGAGCTCACCCGCAAAAACATGCGGCGGAAACAGCCCAAGCTATCTCCGGCGTCGGAAAACGAAATCGACTGCGATCAAATCCTCATCGCTAAACCCTCCTGGCGGAATTTTACCTACGAAGAGCTCGTCGCCGCCACCGACAGTTTCAATCCCGGTAAAGTTCGAAGCTTTAAAGGACGATTATTTATATCCCCTGTTTGAAAGTTTGAGACGGTGCTTCTTTCCTAAATTGTGATTTCTTCCATTTTGTGAAGAAGATTCTGATTTTGTGTTGTTGTGGTTTAGAGAATATGATTGGGAAAGGAGGACATGCGGAGGTGTACAAAGGGGTTTTACCAGACGGGGAGACGGTGGCGATCAAGAAGCTGACGAGACACGCCAAGGAGGAAGAAGAGAGAGTCAGCGACTTCTTGTCGGAGCTTGGGATAATCGCACACGTCAACCACCCAAACGCAGCTAGGCTTCGCGGTTTCAGCAGCGACCGCGGTTTGCATTTTGTGCTCGAATACTCTCCTCATGGCAGCCTCTCGTCTCTACTCTTTGGTACTACTCTCTCCATTGGAATTGAATGCTTGTTAAGACATTGTTGTTGTTGTGTTGTTTATGTTTTTCTGAAACTTTTTGTAGGATCTGATGAGTGTTTGGATTGGAAGAAACGGTATAAAGTGGCTCTGGGTATAGCTGATGGTTTGAGTTATCTTCACAACGATTGCCCTCGACGGATCATTCACCGTGACATCAAAGCTTCCAACATTTTGCTCAGTCAAGATTACGAAGCTCAGGTAAATGATTCATTGAATAAACTTTTTCTCTGTGGCTTGAGAATCGATACGAATATGGTTTTGGCAGATATCGGATTTTGGACTCGCTAAGTGGCTCCCAGAGAATTGGCCTCATCACATTGTTTTCCCCATCGAAGGCACATTCGGGTCAGACACAGATTTCCACAGCTAAATCTCTTCAGCGAACCTTTTTTTTTGTATCTCCTGAATTCAAAACCTTCCTGGTTCTTTGTTCTTGCAGATATCTAGCTCCAGAGTACTTTATGCACGGGATTGTTGATGAGAAGACGGATGTGTTTGCGTTTGGGGTATTGCTTCTAGAGATCATAACTGGTCGGAGAGCTGTCGATACAGCTAGCAGGCAAAGCATTGTGATGTGGGTAATGATCTGTAACTTCTCTCTTGTCTTTGTAACGCAACTTTCTGAATCAAACTGTTAAAAAAAAGTTTGAAATGCTTCTATTGCTAAGGCGAAACCGCTTCTGGAGAAGAACAGCGTGCAAGAAATAGTTGATCCTAAGCTAGAAGGTGACTTTGACGAAACCGAGATGAAAAGGGTGATGCAAACCGCTTCGATGTGCATACACCATGTAGCCAATATGCGTCCTGATATGAACCGGGTATGTTCCAAAACAAAGACCAGTGTCACACTTGTGTCTTGTCATTACGGTCTAATAGGCAACAACTTTGGATATGATGAATTGTGGTTTTGGATTGCAGTTGGCGCAGCTTTTGCGTGGAGATGACCGGTTAGCTGAGCTGCAACAGAAACCATGCGGAGCAAGAACAGTGAGTCTCGACGATTGTGACCTACAAGATCACACCTCTTCCTCGTACCTTAACGATCTCACTCGGCATAGACAACTCTTGATGGAGTGAAGCGATCTGATGAAAGGAAAGTGAACCCTTTAAAACAAGAACAACAACAAAACAAAAAACGTTTCCTTTTTCCCTTTTTCGTGCATGTGAATTTTTGTTTCATCTTCTCCATTGTAAAAATCTCCAAAGGAGGGATAATGTTGTATGTATAATTTGCCTCTAGCCTCAGCTTATGCTTTTCTCTATCTCTGTTTTCTTCATGTGAGTTTCGAAATCCGGATGATTAAATCTAAAGATCAACTTTGTAATCTCTGAATAGGTAAAAAATATTAGTTTTCTTTGTAACATGAATTTATTTTAAAAGTAAATGGTGAAAAACAAAGTATATAGTCTCATTGGTTTAGTCTTCTGAGATTCACAGAAAGCAAAAAAAGAAAAAAGATGGAAACAGAAACAATCATACAAGGAGCAATTTTGCTAATAACCTTCGTTGTGTTCTGGGCGATGAAGTATCTCTCTCAACAAGGCTTAACCAAGTTCCGAAGCAAACACCGAGCCACACTCCAAACGCAGCGTAAGCTAATCCAAGCCTCTCGCCTCCTCGCTCGGGCTCGAAGCACCCCTAAGAAATCCCAATCTCAATCTCTCGCCAAGACGGCGCTCACCGAAGCCGACACTGTCATCGCGATTTCTCCAGACGATGCCGCCGGCCACATCGTCCGCGCCCTAGCCCTAGATCTGCTCGGCCACCACACCGCCGCTCTCAAATCGTTTGATACGGCGCTGACTTATCCGCGACTGAAGTCTCTTTCGGCGGGAGAACGCGCAGATGCGCTTGTGAAGAGAGCTGAGATGAAGCTTGCTGTGAATCGGCGACGGAGGAATGATTCTGCGATCGAGGATCTGGAAGAGGCGATGAGGCTCGCCGCCGGCACAGACACGGCGAGAATATTCCGTCTACTGGGAGAGTGTTATGAGTACAGGGGCTTCAAAGAAAAGGCCCAGTGGGCTCTTAACGAAGCATTAAAAGCCCAACAGACTAAGGACCAGACTAGTTCGTAGCTTTTTTCTTGCAACTTCTTAGATTTCACTTTGTAACCTGCTATTTTTGATTATTTTCGGTTCGTGACTATTGATTAGGAATCTTCCCATTGGTGACCCTAAACTATTTATATGTACTGTGTGCAATTCTGCTTTTTGTACAGTCTCAATTTGGGTTTTTGGTTTTATAAAAAAACATGATAACCAGTTTGGTTTTTATAAAAGGGAGTAGAAATAGAAGATGTAATAAGAAAATCTGAAGAAGATAATTCATAAATGCAAAATGGAGTGATACCGATAAGCCGATTACATACAAAAAATACTAAAACCCATAAACCACCCTTAACAAAAGAAAAACGATCAGTTTCCACCACGCAGGTTACATTAATACAAAATTGACCCCAAAAGTTTCAGCTTCTTCAACTTTTCTCCCCTCTACTTCCTCCTAGACTACAGTTAAAAAAAAGAAAGGGATGACAACACTTAAAATGTAATCTTCTGGTCAGCTTATGGGTTAGCCAAAATGAAAGAAGATAAGCCTCGAGCGCGGAACGAGCCATCGAACCATATGACTCAGTAAGACTGGTTAGGCCACAAGAAAAACTCAGATTGGTTGATAGGAACCTGAACTGAAGAGTCAGAGACTGCAGGATAATGCTGAAACAAGTTCTGGTGATGGTAGAGAACAGAAGAGTCAAATGGAATCCCACATGGGATTGAGTTAGGGTTTAGGTCCGAGGAAGAAGACGGAAGTACATGCTGTTGAAGGTTATGGTCATCGGAAGAAGGAGGAGGAGATTCAAGAGAGAGCTTATGGCGTTTCGCAGCTCCTCCTCCTCCAACGGGGAAAGAACTTTTCATGACGGCTTCAACATCGTAACGGTTCATCTCAAAGTTAGTCACAGCGTTGATTCCTCTGAACTTTATGGCTGCAATGTCGTAAGCCTCTGCCGCTTCCTCTTCCGTAGCTATACAAATCAATGTTTTCATTTCGATAAGCATAGATTCTCCAGGACAATGCTGTTTCTTGATTAAAGTATTTTGCAAAAGTTTATGTTTTGTTTTTTACCGAAGGTTCCGAGGTAAAGATCTTTGTTTCCGGCGACACGGCCAATTCTTGCTTGCCAACGACCTTGTTGATGATGCCTTGTGACACCTCTATATATCGAAGCTCCTCTCGAAAAACCGCTACTTTTCCTGAAATGATTTACGTACATAACCAACAAAAAGTTATAAATCTTCCGGTTTAGAAATCAAGAACACCTTGATTTGGACTCACCTCCTAAGGGATGCGATGAACTCTAGCTTGGTCATATGATTCATTTCCTCCAACTCTTTTGAATAACTCGCGACCTAACAGTGGACAGGACGATCACAAGTTCAGCAACGGGCACAAGCGGCAAAAGTTAGAACAGAGTGAAAAAAAAAACAGGAAGAAACATGAACCTGAAAATTTGTAGTAGCAGTAGGACCCCAGTATTTTAAAGCTGCTAAGTCATAGGCTCTAGCTGCTTTATCTTCTTTGTCATATCCACCTTAATTATATCAATCAATATTAACAACATTGGCCAAACTCGACGATATATCAAAGTCCATAAACTTGTATCTTGCTTACCTAAGTACACTGTCGAATCCATAAAATGAAGAACCATATTCGAAAGGTACATGCAAAACAAAGAAGAACAAGTTAAGCCAATACACATGCTAATAGCTGATCTCATTTTTATTTGAATCTATTTACTTGTTATTAATTACTACATTTCATGGTAAAGCACACACACACAACAAAGGGTCAAAGCTAGATTCCTCTCGTGTGTTCACAACTTTACATCACACTTTGCTTTTTTTTGGATGATGTGAACACAACACACATATCAATCTGACACAGTGTAGACATAAAGAACCCTACAAATCAATCTCTTCAGCCAAAAAGATTTTAAAAATTCAATTTCAAACCCAAAAAGCCAAAAACAAAAGCTAGCAAAGAGCATAGCGTCTAAATAGTCTATCATCACATGCCTAATACATGTATACGCATACATACATATGATATCATATAGTAATAATAATATGGGAATAAAATGGTCAAAAGTGGGTCCAAAATTATGTCAATCGAGAAACAGAGTTTGCATCATAGAGGCATCAGCATATTGGGTCCCATATAAGGTGAAATGAAAGATTTTGAAAGAACGATTGCTCTAATAAAAGACAATGTACAAAATGGCGGCACCCTTGTAAATGAAAAATTCAACCAAATATATAAACATATTCTATTCTATTATTGTTAGTCCTTTTCGTTTGAATTTTCAGTTTAAAATTTGTTTCTTTCCTCCACATTATGCCATATATACCAAAAACTCTTATCAATCATCATAAAGAGATGGACATCTCACCAGAAAGAAACAGCTTTTTAGTAATTTATATTTTATTGAATCTTCTGCATGCATTTTTCTTTTCACTCTGTTCTTTGACAAAACCTTTGTACTGCTTCCCCCCATCTCCTTTAGTTTTTTCCCAAACCATAAAAGTGACAGAAAAATTGATTTTTTAAAAAAACCTAAATAAAGTTAGTTTTAGTTTTAATCAAAATAATTAAAGGATACAAAGACAAAAGATGGTTTTTGAACCCCAAACTGAGAAAGATAACATTAAAATCATTTAGACAAAGATAGTTCATACTTGAAGAAACTAGTTATCGTATAGTTTTATCAAATGGGAACAAAGTGATTCAAGAAACGGTTTCATATTGTTTTGCAAAATCAAATAACATTTTAAGATAAAGAATGAAAAAAATATATTTACCTTGACGTCCTTTTCTTGCTTGACCTTCCCTCCTACAGCTATTATCCCATAGATGCGCTTCGTATCTTCCCGTCCATCTATGTCTGCGTCAATCATACATCTCTATCATCATCAAGCCTCAATCTCAATTTCTATTTACTTCAAAATCAAATCTTTTTCCCACCCCCGGTCAAAAATAAAACAAACTTTGAATTTGATATCCATATTTCTTCATCCTTGTCACATTGCATTTCCCAGGATTAAAAAAAGTTTGAACTTTACTAGTTCAGTTTAAATCCAAATCAAAATAATCAAGAAAATATCCAATCTTTTTCCCACCCGTAAACATAAATATCAAAACTTTGAATTAGATCTCCAACATTTCCCATGAACAAAGGTTGAACCTTGATTTTCATTTTATAAAAAAAAAAAAGATTTTCATTATTTAACTTACCGTGTGACTCCTCGATAAATTGAAGTTCGTTGTCCAAATGTTTCGGTAATCTTCTTCTTGGAATCGTCCGACGATTCAACCGCCATGGCTTTTTCCTTCTTAGAAACTGTCGTCTTTCTACCGTTTTTCCCTCTCTCGCCATTATTGCAGCTCAAAGGATTATCAGTGTTGTTAACCGCTAGAGACAGAGCTTCTCCGTTGGTGCAACCGCCGTGAAACCCTTGCCCCGCCGTCGTGGACGACTCCACAACGTGGCCGCCGATCGAGAGATGAGCTCGTCTGATGGAGGCTGAGTCATCGGCGATTTCCGAGTCGGAGTTTGTCTGGAAACAAGGAATCGTGTTGAAATCGTGGTGTTGATCGGAGAAGAAACCTGTAGCTCCTCCTCCGGTGTGGTGACGTGGATCGTAGATTCGAGTGAGAGAAGAAGCGTCTTGTGTCTCTGTGTGGTTATCGGAGTAACGGACAAAGGAGGTGGTAGACGAATCGCCGAGAAAATCTTCGAGCTTGGGAATATGAGTCTGGGATTGGGTTTCCGAGTCGAAGAAAGTGGCAAGTGTTGTTGAATCCGCCATTGAAGCAGTTTCTGTCTCAGCTTCTTCTTTGAAAACTTAAATATCAAAAGATCCCAAAACAAAAGTTAGCAACTTTAACTAATCACACAACTGATGAGAATCATGAGGAACAAAGGTTCAGATTTTTCCGAGAAAACACACTGAGAAACAGGAATAATAATATTCGAAGTTGTACTACCAAAACGCGATCTTTTTTTGTGTTGTTCTTAGGCGATTGAAATTTTAAGAAAAATCTGTTTTTTTTTTTATCTGCCTTTCTCGGGAAAAAGACAAATTAAGCAACCGAGAAAAGGAGGAGAAAGGAGGAAGTGAGTTCAGCAACTCGGTTAAATTAAGAGGATAAGCTGCAAAAAGTCTTGCGCACATACGTCACTGGGAACTACCAAAATATTAACGGATTGAAGAAGAAATTTTACCATAGAAGTTATCGATGAGGTAAGGAGTTGAAGAAGCGTCGTAAGAGATGAAGTGAGATTGATCAGGAGATTTCAACATCTCCATTGGTGACAGAGAAAACGTTAACCAATTCGCCATCAAAGCAGAGCAGAGAGAGAGAGAGAGGTTTCAAAGTTGGAAACTTTTTTTGATGTGAAAATCTGCAGAAAGAGACAAATTAAGATTTAATGAAAGCAACTCATAGGAGAAGATGGTTTTCTTCTTCTTTAATTTGAAAAGAGCAAAAAAAAAAAAACCTGATAAAAGCGTTACAGTCACTAACTATAGCTTTTTAGAGGTTCTGCAATTGTTGACGAAGATTAAAAAGAGCAAATGCATAAAGAAGACGAAGGAAGAAGATTATGTGGAACCAGGATAACACTTTATAAAGAGAGAGTGAGGAGTGTGAATAGAAAAAGACACATTTAATTTAGCATATCACTTAATGTGTTTATGTTCATAGTATTAATATTACCAGAAACCATAAATATAAGTATTGATTTTATTTATCATCATTAATTTGTGGAGTAGTGAATAATGCTTTTAGTAGGTGGAGGTGTGAGCTTTTAGCTCTGCGGAATGAGAAATTTTGTCTGGAATGTCGAGAAATATCTGGGAGACAAAAGATATAACTATGATAATTTGCAACCCTGATTAGTAAATTAGTTTTATAATGACCTCCCTAAATAACGTCATTACCAATTTTTACCGTCAAATGTCGATTTAGGGGACTCCCACGTGTCCTTCATGCAATGCAAAATGCCGGTTTTCCTATTACCCACCCCTTCCCTCCCGAGCCGGACCGGGTTTCACCTAAGTATTTGCAGTTCGAACCCTTCTTATCTAATATCTTCGCATTCGAGTCGCTTACTTCTGTATTGTCAATAAATCAACTTATATAATTGTCGATGAAAATTACAGGAGTAACCTTTTACAGAATTTTGGCTAAAAGGCAATTATCTAAACGGGTCAAACGTAAGAAAATTGATATACATATCTAAAATGCGTAAGGGTAACACTAAAGTAGTAGAATACAATGTGGGATAGTAATAATTAATAACAACAATAAATCCATAAGAATTGGATTGTGCCTTTCGGATTCTGGTGTGGTGGAGGAGACAACCTTCCAGATGGTAAGGCGGGTTCCCGCTGTACAAAACGAATCAAGAAAATGTTGTTACAAAAAGGGAGGCCCACAATTAAGGCACGTGATTAAGGCCTAATGTCGTTTTGTTTCGAGCATTTCGTATCCTATAGTTTTACTTTATTGAACCTTTTCATTTTAACAAGTTACCATATTTTTTTATCGTCATTTTGCACCCACAAATATTTTTATCGTCATATATCTATCTATCACCAACTAAGCCTATGAGTGTCATTTATGATGAAAATGTTACATACAGTTACTAACTCAATCGTTTTCATACGATCCAAAATAGTATGAACGAGCTTTATTTGAACAGCAAGCAAAAATAGTATGGACGAAGTTAAATAAATTCTGACAGTTTTTGGAATATCGCCTTGTTCCCAAGTCTTTTAATCAAACGCGATGATTGTGATTCATTCAAAAATGATAGTTTAATTCGCTATTGTGAGATTTTATTTTTGGAAAGGTCCAATGACTTGTGCTAAGTGTAACAGTTGCTTTTGAGCTTTGACCGAAGAGGCACGTGCGCAGCATCTTTTGATTCATTGTCTTTGTGGTCGAGGATTTCGGTGACGTGACGCACGTGCGCCCCTGTCATCATCTTTAATTATCTCTATAATCTCCTCTCAAACTTTTTGTATTAATCCTAGGCTTTCTATTTAATTATCCGCTCCACCAGAACGTGGTTCTAATAAGCATACTCTTGATATAGCATAATCCATATGTATAATACTCTCGTAAACACATCGTATAAAACTATTACTTGTTAGAATACTGTGTTTATATTTCGGATACAACCCAACTATACAACACGAACAATTGTTAATCAACGAGTTATAATATTAAAGTGGAAAAAAAAAAATGAGGAGAACAAATTATTGACGAAAAGATCACAAAAGCATACGTGGAGTGTGATTAATTAGTCAAACATTACAGCCGTCTAAGTAAAGAATAATGCGACTCTGCAAGCTGTAAATAGTATACAGACAGGTTTATCTTAAAGCTACACAAGTAAATTAAAAATATGCGCCCGGATTATTATATTAATAACCATGACATGTTTTAACCGTGTGAAGATAATATATACAAAACAAAAATATAGATGATTATCATAATCTCAAATGATGTTTATGAACTCTAAGGCTATCAATGGGCTTAAATATTAAAAGGGTCTCTAATGGGTTTCCAAATCTCAAAGCCTTTTATGCACAAGTTTCTTTAATGACTATTATATTATATGAAGATTATTAGCTCAAAAGTTAAAACTTTGAATAAACCCTACTATTACACTTCTCATGATTTTGTCTACACACCTTGTATAAGAGATCTTTTTAGTTCTTTGGCTACTTCCAACATTTTTGGAACTTGCCCTCTAAGACCAATGCATCTCTCCGAAAGAACAAGGAAACCTTCCATTTGCCAACGCTCTTCTTCTGAAACTTCGCCCATTTTCTCTAACATATTTGGATCCACGATCTCATCCATTCTTCCTTCTCCCATGTATTTAGACAACCATTTTGGAAACTTGTGTTTCTCTCTCCAATTCTTCCAACCACAAAGCTCAGCAAATCTTTCCTCTCCTGTCAGAAGCTTTTGCATGAAAATCCCAAAGCCGAACACATCGGTTTTCTCCGACACTACGCGATTAAAGATATAGTTATCGTCCATGTAATCGTAATCTTTCCCTGCCCAAGTAAGTTTGACAAATGTTTCTCCCGGTGGAATCGAGACACAATAAGATAAATCATTCAGCTTCGGAACACCATTTTCATCCAACAAGATATTCCGAAAACCCATGTTCCTATACACAAAAGGTCTTGGGAACGCATTGTGAAGATAAGTTAAAGCAGTTGCAATCTCCTTTGCTATCTTCATTCTCCTTCTCCATGACACGATCATTTTTAAATCGATAGGAGAGTATTGTTTCTCTCTAACATAATAAACTATGACTGGATATTCAAACTCAAAACAACATCCCACCAACTTCATGAAATTTTTGTGACCACTCACCATCGATGATATTGCTATGTCACGAGGGGGTCCATTGCACATGTCTCTAGGGGGATTAAGATTTCTTCCCAACATTTTCCTTACGAGGATCATGCGATGGTCATCGAGCATACCTGAGTACCATTTCCCCTGAAATTGTAATTGAGAAACACGACTACACTCACATATGTTTTGGCTTCTTTCATGGACATTACACTTGCAGAAATGTTTTTTTGTGGCTTTGAGGATTTGATCAGCAGTGAAGAATTTTATGGGATTAGGTTTGCCATCGCAACATTCGATGAGCTCTTTTAGAATCTTTTCTCCTCTTCTTTGGCCTCTGACCAACCTCTGTTCTTTAACAACGGCTCGTGACTTTTTCTTCTTCCACCAATCCATCTACAAAAATAAAATAGTATATTTTACTTTGAAAATAGAACCAAGAAAGACTATAAAGACTCGCTCCCCATTTGCTTGAAAAGGAAGAAGGAATAACATAAGGCTTTTATTGTTTTTAGTTTTTTATAGTGGCTTTTTTTGGGGGGGAGGGTCAAAAGAGTGGTTTTTGGTTTTAGTTTTTGAAAGTTACATTTTATGACCCGTTCAATATTTTAATAAAAGTTCTATAAAATTAGGAATACTAGGTAATTTGAGGTTTTAAAAACAGTATTATTTGGCTTTCACCTAAACAAACACATTTTCTTCTTCATCAAGACTTGTGTTATTTCATCTTTTTTTGTTTTACTTAAAAAAATTTGAATTAATTAAAATTCTTGTGAATTATTAATTTAAATGATGCTTATGTCAACAAAATCTAATGTTTATTTTAGTCATTTTTAACTCATAAATAAATAAATAGACACTAAAAACCAAAAACTAAACAAACTATCATTTAAATTTCCAAAGAAAGTAAGATGTACAGAGAAAACAAAAACCAGATACTCAAAAATTTTTAAAAGTCAAAAAACTAGAAACTAGAAACTAGAAACTAGAAACTAAAAACCATTCATGGTCATAATGATGCTGTTGAATAGTCAACAATGAATTCCTTCGGCGAAATGTTCTTGATGGGATTTGGGAGATATTTCATAACTTTTTTTCCACGTTACAAAAAAAAAAAAAAAAAAAAAAAACTCATGAACATCCCATGAAAAACAAAAATGAAGGAAGTTCTATAAAATTTAGTCAGTAGTCAATCTATGAATAGATATGCTTTGGTCACCTCGATGTTACAAGCTAACACGTCGTCAGAATTATCTTTCCCTCAAATATATATATACCTCAATTGTTTTTAGTTTTTACAATATCATCCTTTTTCTTTCATGCCTAAACATCAATTACAGATTTCTGTTATTATCATATCACTTCACTATCTATTAATAATTAAAGATATATGGAAATTAACATTCAAGGAAAGACATTTTCTTCTTTATCCTTCGTTGTTGTAATTTCAGACAGTTTCCGTAGTCAACTAAACAAGATACAAAACTTAAAAAATACTCCTCTCAAGATACAGTTACATAAAAACCAGATCAAAATTTCTGTCTTTGAAAATCATACACGATCAGATACAAAACAACAAAACAAAACCCATAACCTTATATCTCATCACCATCATCATCGAAACCAGAAGAAGATGGAGGAAATTAGGAATCATGAGTTCGAAGAGGAAGGATCAACGATGGAGAAAGTATATATAGCTGTTGGAAACGATTTACAAGAAGGTTTCAAGACGATCGATTGGGCTTTAAAGAAATGGAACAACATCCCAATCTCCATTGTTCTTCTCCATCTCTGCAACATTTCCCAGGATTTTGTCTACACTCCTTGTATAATCCCTTTCTTCTCAATTCACACCTCTTCTTTCAATTTATTCATATAAAACCCAGTTTACATTGTGAGTCCTGTCTCATGATATAGTTGGGAAGCTTCCAGCGAGTTCTGTGAGCGAGGAGAAGCTTCAGGTACTCAGGAAATACGAGGAACAAAAGATCAACAAGTTGTTGTCCAAATACGTTACTTTTTGTGGAAAGGTTTCTCCTTTTTTCCTGTTAATTTCATTTTTGTTTCAGATTAGAATTTCTTTTTTCTTGGGGTCTTAGGATGTAAAGCTGGGAAATATGTCAATTGTACACAGTTACAGGTTAAAGCAGAGTTACTCAAGGTTGAGAAGCAAGATGACTCAATCCAAGTGCTAATCTTAGATTTGATCTCAAAGCTTAGAATCACAAAACTCGTCATGGGAATCACTTTCATGAGATTTTCATCATCTTGGTAACTCTTTTTTCTTCTGTTCATTGAGAAAATCCAAAGATGCAAATTTTCTTCTTCTTATTGTTCTGTGTAAAATGCAGGAAATCGAAGAGTGCCATAAGCGGATCGTTCTATGTATATCAAAACAAACCAGAGTTTTGCGAATTTTATATTATTTGTGGAGGCAAAATGGTTTCGCTAAAGAGAGAGAACGACGTGAACAACAACAATATTAGAAGCTGGATTGGTAAAATGTTCCATGATCCGGGAAGAAATCTAGACCGCTCATCTATCAACAATGATGATCCAACGGCTAGTGGAAGTCCATGGGATAATAATTTGCAGGAGATGGAGAATTATTTCCACCAATTATTGAGTTTGAATCTCGAAGAAGAAGAAGAACAAAACGGCGTCGAAGAAGATGATGATGATGATGGCGTGGCACTAGACGTGCTGCAACATATGGTAAAAAAGAAACCACTGCCCGAGAGAATATACCTTTTTTAATTTTTTTTTTATTTGAAATTTTATACTATGTTGAAAATGTCAGAACGTAGCAGAGAAGGTAGAATATGTGAGAAGAAAGGTAAATGAAGCTAAGCTGATGATAGAGGAGAAAAAGAGAGAAGTCAAAGTCAACGCTGAGAGATCCCACAAAGCTGAATGGGCAATCTCTTTATGCAATTGCAGAGTAAAAACTAAAAACCAAACCTTTTTTGACTATAACTAAACAAGAACTGAGATTCATCATAGTCTTAACAAAAAAAAGCTCTCTCTTTGTTGGTTTGAATCAGATTGAAGAGCTTGAAGCCGGGATTAAAGAAGAAAGCGAGAGACGAGAGAAGCTTCAAGGGACATTAGATTCGGATAAAGAATGTATCGAAGAAGCAAAGAACGATGTCGAAAAAGGAAAAGCAAAGCTAATTTCGCTTGAGGGGATTCGAGAAGAGCTCTCAAGCAAGGTTAAGACAACGATGGAGGTTAAATCGCAGGCGGAAGCGGAGCTAGAGAGGGTCGTGTTAAAGAAAGGAGAGACGATCAATGAGATTGAGAAACTCAGGAACCAAAGAGATGTTTTCAACCGTAGGATTGAGTTTTGCAAAGAGAAAGAGGCGATGGGGTTGGTTTCGAAGGAAGAAGTGAAGTGTGGGTATAGAGAGTACGTTGCAGAGGATATCAGATTAGCCACGGAGAACTATTCCGATCGACTGAGGTTGAGATCCGGCGGTAACTGGACGAATGTGTACCGAGGAAGGATCAAACATACGACTGTGGCTGTGAAAGTGATTAATAATCGTTTGTCAGATGACGGTTTTGCAGCAAAAGTTAAGCTTTTGAATGAGATTAGGCATCCTAATTTGGTAGCAATTGCTGGGTTCTGTTCAGAAAAGCCTAAATGCATTCTCTTTGAGTATATGCATAGTGGGAACTTGAGGGATAATCTGTTCACATCGCAGAGGAAATCGAGAAGAAGCAAGATACTGAAATGGCATGATAGGATTCGCATAGCTCACCAGGTTTGCTCTGGACTCGGGTTTCTCCACTCGGTTAAGCCAAAACCGATCGTTCATGGTCGCCTCACGCCGTCTAAGATCCTCTTGGACCGTAACCTTGTACCGAAAATAACCGGGTTTGGAGTGATAACAACGCATAGTGATCAGTCTGACACAAAGCCTGATGTGATGGCTTTTGGGGTCCTGCTTCTGCATCTTTTAACCGGAAGAAACTGGCCCGGTTTGCTCAAGGCAATGTCGATGAACCAGACGAGTATTCTCAGAGACTTGGATCAAACAGCTGGTAAGTGGCCGTTGGAGCTAGCTAAGGAGCTTGGTGCACTTGCGGTGAAGTGTTCTTCAGTTAACAGAGGAGGGAATATGGAATTTTCAACCAAAGAGATAATGGAAGAGCTTGGTAATATAAGGGAGAAAGCCGATGAGCTTAGAATCATAGGAGGGTACGAGGAAGCAACCGATTCAAACATGGAAGAAGGAGATCCGAATGACATACCGAGTGTTTTCATGTGTCCCATACTTCAGGTCCATACATAGCTTTACATTCTCCATGTATGGAGAGAAAGTGACTCACACAACCTTAAACTCGTTATCTTTGTTTTGCAGGAGGTGATGAAGAATCCACATGTTGCAGCAGATGGGTTTTCGTATGAGCTTGAGGCCATAGAAGAGTGGCTGAGCATGGGACATGACACATCTCCTATGACAAATCTGAGACTTGACTATCAGATTCTCACACCAAACCATACTCTTCGCTCTCTCATTCAAGACTGGCACAGCAAAAGAGCAGCTCACGTTTCCTCCTAGTTTCTTTCTTTTGTATACGCACAGCAAACTCAAAAAAGGTTCCTAATTCTGTATTTTGATTCACATCTGCTTTCTTCCGCTATAAGATATCAAAGTAATCAGCAAAAAGTACCAATCTTGTTCAAGATAGCTCCAAAAGAAGATGATCAAAACGGAAATAATGCACATAGCTTTCATTTTAACCCTTTTTAAGAATCGGAAATTTCTGTATATTCCTCAAATTTCGATTAACAGATACTATCAAATACAAACAACAAGGGATAGTCACAAGTGAAGAAAAGATCCACAGCAAACAAACAAAGAGGAAGAAGAAGAAGATCAAGCTAGTCGCTACGGCAGAGAGAGAGAGAGAGAGAGAGAAAGACCCTTCATTTCGTCGATACCGGAGAGAAAAGGCGAGCGATTCGATCTTTCTGCTCTTGGAATCGTCGTTCCAAGAAAGTCTCCATGATCTCCATGACGGAAACGAATCTCTTCATCTGCTCTAACCGACGGCTGAGCTCCGCTTCTCTCGCCCTCGCTCGTCGCAGCCGCGCCTCGGTTTCCGCGAGCCGGTCTCGAAGATTGTCTACCACCGTATCTTCGTCGTCTCCGTCGTACGATCGGCGACGGAGGCTGCTGCGCGACGACGATTGATTGTGACCGTAACACATCGTTAAGAGGAAGATAACACAAAAATCAATTTTTGGTTTTGGAGTTCCTTCTGAGGGAGGAAACGGAAAGAAACACCTGAATCAAGGATGATTTTGTAATTTCAGGAAATTCTAATAATTGGTGGTTTTTCTGAGTCGAAACCTTCTTATTGACCCAGTGGGTTTAAGTTCCCTCGATATAGTTCAGTCGCCGGCGTTGGAATCGAACCGTAAGCAAAACTATGGCGAAGCTCGAATCGGAATCTTCATCTTCTTCTTCAGCCTTCTTCTCCCAGACCTCTTCTCGTCTCCCAGACGACACCGTTTTCTTCTCAATATTCCCGGACGCCTCCCTCTCCGCCGCAGGATCGGAAAGCTCCGCCGCTCTTCAATCACTTCACCTGGAAATCATCGATTTCGTTTCTCCGTTTACTGCTCCCTACATATGGCAGCACGAGCCTTTCTCTCTCTCTATCGCTCTCTCCTCCTCTTGTGTCTGTACCGATACTGCGATGCCTCACCTTCACGGGAAGCTCAAGTATGGTGACAATCTAGAGGACGAATGGTTCGCCGTCTTCTTGCTCTTCCGCATCTCCGCCGCGTTTCCATCTAATTCCATCCGTGTGTGGGACACAGACGGCGAGTTTCTCCTCATCGAAGCTGCTTTTCATCTCCCGCGTTGGCTCAATCCCGAAACGAGTCGCAACCGTGTCTTCATTCGCGGCGGTGACCTCCACATCGTCCCCCGTAGCCGCCTCCAGGATCCTTCCCTAGTTGCTTCCTTGCGGTTTCTCGTCGAGCGTAGTCACGAATCTCGAGCGTCGGATTCAGTTCAAACCGCGTTGAGGAACCGGATTTCAGATTACCCCGACAGAACGTGGAGGAGTATGCACCGTGCTAGGGTTAGGGTTCCGGTTTCGGTGGCGCAGGTGCTGAAGCACGAGCCTTTCTTAATTTCGCTGGCAGTGGAAGGCTTTTACGACCGTGATGTGGATTCAATGAAACACGCAGCGAAGATGGAGAAGTTTCTGAGCAAAGGAAGAGAGGAGGAGCTTGTGCTTGCGCTTGTCAAGATGTCGCGGGCAATGTATGCTCAGCTTGTGCAGCAGAAGTTTCAGGCGCCCAATTGCTATCCAATGCCGAGCATCAGCGACCGCGATGCTTACTCTGAAGCCGAGCTAGGGATGAAAATCGCTTGTGGTATGGAAATGATGTATCAGCAGAGGAAGAAGGAAGGAGAAGATGGGAGAGGGATTAGTTGGAGCAAATATAAGGACAATCTCGAGAAGAATGGTTATTTTGAAGGATTGCTTTCTGGCTCGAAGGAGTACAAGAGGTTGATGGAGAATGCCGAGGAATATTACCAGAAGAGCTCGTCCGTTTCAAGAACAAGGTAATAATGCATGTTTTGGTTGAATTTTGTTTATGCAGTGAGTGAAAAGGATTCGTCTTTGAGTTGTTTGTGATCTTGAGTTGTTGTTTTGTTGTGTGCAGAGACATTATGAGTGCGCCTGTGAGACGTATCGATGAGATTCTTGCTCTACCTTATTCGGGGGATGACTTCAAGTGTCAGGAAGTTCCTGTTTCTGACAATGACGCTTGGCTCTACGATGGTGAAGATGAGTTAAACTCTGTTCTTCAAGAGAGGCAGAAAGAGATGGAGTTCTATAACTCGAAGAAGGAAAGAAAACAGAAACAAAAGGAGAAGCAAGAAGCTGGGAGCTCATCTGATGCAGACGTGAACAATTTTGATCTCGGTGATATCTCAAAGTCGATAGAACAATTCATCAAGAAGGTATCAAGTTACGAAGGAGCAGAAGTGCCAGAAAACAGGTGATTGTCTTGTAACATTAATCATCTTTCCAGCATCCATCTGCCCCTTGAAAATCTCATTTTTGTTTTCTCTTTTGAGGTCAAACGTGAGGTAACATGTCAATTTCAGGCATTAACATTGCTTATTTTCTTTGCTTGGCTTCTGCAGGGATTTCAAAGAAGTGAATCTAGACGTCGACCGTTTCATGAAAGATATTGAATCAATGCTGGGGAGCCAAGGTCGTCCAGAACAAGCTGCTGATGATGACAGTGATGGCACAGAAGGGTCTTCCCTGGACATGGATTTTGATGACTTTGAAGATGACAGTGAAGGAGAAGAGTCTAACGGGGATGAGAAGGAAACGTTTATGGAATCCTACTCTGGGGCAATGAATGAGGAACTTAAAAACTCAACTCTTGAGAAGAGCTTTGAACATGTGAATCAACATTCTTCAAAGCAAAACGAGGTAATTCTTCAATTACCATCCTGATGCCATTTTTTCTGTTTTAAAAGTGATTGAATTTTGATTTTTATTGAATGTTTTATATGCATCTTGCAGGGATCATCAAAGACTTCAGACGATGAATTTACACCAATTGATGCTGATTTCAACCTTGTGAAGAACCTACTTGAATCCTACTCTTCACAACAAGGACTTCCTGGTCCTGCTTCCAATTTACTCGGACTCATGGGTTTGCAACTTCCAAAGGATTCCAAAGACAAACAATAATGAAATGTAATTTTTCGTCTCTGATCAAAACCCTATGCAACATGTTTTGTGTTTTGCTTAGTTTAATCTTTTTATGAATCGGAACCCCTCGTGAATCCTATGATTTTGCCAAGTAATCGTAAACGTGTGCAACGCTGAAGGTTCTTGTGTTGTCGAAAGTAAGCACATGACATGTGAATCAAGAAAAAAACTTAAACTTATGTACATGTACACTATTACACATTATCATCATCCACAAAAGAACAAAAGAAAAAGATATTTTTTTGGGTGTCCAAATCCAATAATCTCGACCACAGAAGTGAAGCAAAAAACGCTTTCACTTCAAACAACCCACATGAAAAAGATCCAATACTCAAATCATATACCATATTCATAACATATCAATTCTTCATTCTTTCATTTTTATGTTGCTACGTCTCCATCACCATCAGCTTTGTCCATTAGTAGATTCTTGAGAGGTGACTTGATGTTTTGTTGTCACTCACATGAAACAGAAAACCAAAAGAAGTCACCAGAAGCTCTATCCACGAATCTTTGCTTCTTTCTTTTTTTGCTTTTTCTTCTTTTTTCCTTTTTTTTTTTTTGATTATTTGATTCTTAATTTTGATACTGAAACATCAGAGAAATAGTCTTTGATCTTCCCAATCTCCAGTTTATAGCTTCCCCATAGACGACAGCCACTGTTCCATATTCTTCCCATCTGCACTTTTAATTTCATCAGAATCAAGGACAGTTCAACTAATACAAACCAATTATAGTAATAACCAGAGTTCTTAGTGATCTAAAAAGTTAAAACCTTTAAACAGAGATAGGTTTGAAATCACTGAGATCATCTTAAACATGCACATAAGTTACATAATTGCTACTAATGATGATTAATAATGGAAACGAACATTACCAGGAGCAGGAGAGAAGAAGCCATTTGGAATCTGATTCCCTGAACCATCCATCACTTTCTTGTAGCAAGGAACGAGAACCACAAACCCACCACTCTCATCCTCACTTATAAACCCTGGTCCATGTGGTTCAACCCAGCCAATTGACCACTCTGGATCATCTGGTTCAGGGAACACCACATTCCCCATCTTCTCTTCCTCTCCTCCTGACCCTCCTCTTCCAATCCATCCTCTCTTCGTCTTCTTCACCGCAGAAGAAGAAGAACCAGTCTTACTCTTCTTGAGTGAAGGACTCAGTGAAGAAGATCCTTTTGGTATGGACTCTTTCTTCTCCCTCTCTTTAGTGTTACCACCACACAACCACCTCGGAAGACGAGGAAAAGAGACTGCCATCTTTTTTTTTTTTTGAAAGGCTTTCAAAAACTCCGAACCTCCGGAGATTCACTCTTATCAATCCATGGATCGTTGCTTTTATCTTTCTTCTTCTTCTTCGACCTGTCGACAATAAATATCCACTTTTTAATCATCCCCTTCATTAATAAACCTTCATAATGTCACCATTATGATGACACTGACCAAACACAAACAAAAAACAGTGGACTGTAAACAAATTCAGAAACTAAAGATGAAAATTTTCAATCCAGTTATATTGTTCATGATGTGATCGATTAAACCACCACATAGATCAATCATCAAATTTGCGGAAAAACAAAATTCAGATTTGATTCTAGTTAGTCTCAATTTCAACGAAGTTTCAGGTTTAAAAACAAAGAAGATCCCAATTAATTTTTTAATCGTCTTCTCGCTGATTACTTCATCAACGGAAAGTAATTAATGCTTCTACAGATCGATGGTCCAAGTTTTAAAAAAAAAATGGCCAAAAATAGAAAAGGGAAAGCGATCAATAAATGAAGAAACGAGGGAGGATCAGGCCTCCATGTCCGTCAAAACACGGCAAGGCTTCGCCGGAAAATTCGGCAGAAAGTAAGTGCGAAAAACTCGGAATAGGAAGATGAAAGAAATCTCCGGTAAATCCGAAACGTTAATTACCGAGAAAATCTAATCGTCGATCGAAGAAACCCTCGACTCGCGTCGTTTCGTCTCTGAGTCCCTTCTATTTTCTCCTCTCTCTCTCTCTATAACTCTCTTTCTCTCTGACTTTTCTCTGACTTCTACAGAAGCTCATCTTCTGCTCTGCTTCATTTATATTACTCTCTTTTCTGGTTTTTTTTTTCTTTCGTTTTAATTTGTTTTTCCCCGTTTTTATTGGGCCTCGCTTCTCCAAAACCAATTAAGATTGATCCGACGGTTGGTAGCGGTTTACTTGGTTTCGTGGCAATTGTTGGCCTACGGTTCTACAATAGACTTCACAACACCTGATTACAACAACCGAAGAGATCTCTCTCAATAACAAAAAGAAGAGGGAATATTACGGTTTTACTATTTAAAAAAATATAAACAAACCTTTTCGATATATTAACGAATCGATTTTTCTCACATTAATTACCAGTTTTTTGTATAATGATGATAGACTTGAAGAGTTTCATCAGTATTATTATAAATCTTGGAAATTTCAATTAGAAATAATGTAAGTTCATGTATTTCCCCGGAATCAGTCATCTACTTTCTGGATGGATTTTTGTATAATTATTATAGGGATACTTAATAATTAGCGTTTACCAAACCTTTGATTAAAACTGTAGGGACCTTCAAATCCACGAGGCACGAGGTCTATTATGTCGTTAAACTCTAATTAGTGCATACACAAAAGGGTCAAGGGAAATGGGAGTATACACACATATATAAATGTTTTTCGGTTTGTTTGAATGCACGTAAACGGAAATTAAACTCAATCTTAGATTGCTAACAAAAAGTAGGTCAAAATACAAGTTGAGCGAATGTGAAAATTTAATTCTGAATCTTGATAGTAGTAGTAGTTGATAAAATATTTGATTAATTGACTGTAAAAAAACCTGCAAATTTCTTGGCAACAGCCAGCGGACGAGAAAAATAAAATAAAATAATGGGCAACCTTTTTCCGATAGGTCAGCTTTTCTCAGCCACAATTTAAGGATTAACTCAATTCATAAGGTTTCACTCTTTAATATTAACGTAATTCATATGTCACTCTTAAAAATCACAATGCTTTCTTTCGTATCTTTACTTTCGTTGTAATTTGATTTAATGAAATCCAATTCTTATAGTAGTTGCATTTTTTTCTTCTTCACATTACATATCTAACGTTTAGATAGTCCATGAGTTTTTTTAATATCTATATAGCGGATTTATTTCACACATAAAAGAAGACAAATAGATAATTACGGGATCATCCGTTCGCTGATCAGAATCTGAAGATCTAACAAATAGCATATTCTATACACTTGTGAGTGTCGTGAGTTAAAAGTTTTGGGATTATCCACTTGAGTCTTTAATTATCTTTGCTCAAATTATGATTGACTCAAGAGCATTTGTATTAGTAAACCAAAAAGTTGAATATGTAACAGTTTTACCAACAAAATTGTCAAAATAGCTCTTATGTAAAGTAGAAAACATAAAATTATCAAAAATATTTTAGTTCAGTAATATATGAAACTCTCAGACAGTCGTCATAAGACAAAAAGGGAAAACAGTGGGACCAAAATCTAATTATCTATTTTGTTTTTGCTATTATGTAAATCTGGGGTCAACTACAATAATAAGAGGAACATTAGGAGCCAAACATATAAATATCTAAATTAGGGAGGATGGATTTACAAATAGTCAAATCTCATACACAAATTCATTCGCCACGCGAGTCTGACATGGCAGACACGTGGCTATTTAGTGTAACGTTGGTAAAAAAAACTAACGTTATCAGAGACAGGTTCGATCCTATGACCTGTGGGTTATGGGCCCACCACGCTTCCGCTGCGCCACTCTGATAATTTTTATTTTTATCTCGTTTTAGCCCTCCAATTTCAGTCCATTACCTAATTTAGGTTCTGTGTAAGCTTTCTACCTTTTTGCTCCACTCTAGTACTTTGGTAACAGCAATCATGAAGTTGATATAAATTATAATTTTAGACCCCCCAAAAATTATAATTGGCGTAAATCTAAGATTCTTCTTGTAACAAAAGATAGACACCTTGATAATTTCTTCGAGGTGTTTTAGGCTGTTAATTTTGGATTTATTTTTTGGGAAAAACTATAAAGATCTCTCTCCAACTAGTAGCGTAGGACAGCATTACACGTTGAGTACCATAAAGAACCATAATCCTTATTTTATTTTATTAACTGATATTTTATACATTATTTATATGATCATTACGGAACGAACCGTAACGAAAACCAACTAACCAGCCTCATAAAGAATTGAGCTTCTTATAATTTATCAGAAAAGTAAATCTAAGGATTTTATAAGACTTTTCTAATCAAACATGACACATACAATCAGGAGCGGGATAAGTATAAATCGACTGTTTCGGTTTTCTCAACCGGATCTGTCCTTGTCTGTTGACATGTCCTTCACCAAGCGCCTGTTGAAAATCGACCCACGTGATGCTCTTGTTGAGGAAAAGCTGTCCGATTAACGCCATGTTTGGTCTGATCGTCTTGAGATTCTCGAATGTTCGATGACCCACAAGAGCATTGTGCATGTTCCCAGGTGACGCAGAGATGAAAATGTCACTGTGCATACTTACATAGTAATCAAGCGCAGCTAACAAAGAAGCTTTGCCTTTGATTCGAGCTCGTTCTTCAGATGAAGCAAGACTCCTCTTGTCTTCCATTCTTGGGAACACTTGTCTCAATGCTGAGATTCTAGCTTCTCCTCCATATACCTGAATTTAACAAAAAAACAAACTCAACATTATAATGCATTACATAGAAAAACAGAGTTCAAAACAATGTAAGTGTAAGAATCTGACCTTGTGGGATGCGAGATAGAGACGAGTATTGTTGTCGAATCCGAAAGCAGCTAAAAGAAGTCCCATTTCTTCTGGTGTTAAAGGACACCGTCCTTGGCTTCTCAACTCTTCGTCTGTGAATTGAGAATTCAAGACTCTTCCTTGCCAAATCATTTGTCGGTACTTCGCTAATGCAAGTTTCTCGGCTTTGCCTCCACCAAAATCACAAGCCGAATGTGCAGCCATGTCCTATATACCAGAAAAAACAAGAGAGAAAGACTTCTCTTATATGACCAAAGTAACTCAAAACAGACATCGTCAAATGTTATAAACAGACAGAATTTTACCTTGTCGAAACGAAGATGAAGAACAGCGAATTTGCCCGGTTCTTGTCTGCTGTGAGGGTTTGTCATGTCTCCTAAATGATCAACATTCTTTCTCTCCTTGCTGCTTCTCCAAGATGGGTTTCTAAGACGGCTCACAAGAGCATCGCCAAGTGATGTAATGTGAGGGACAAAGCGTAAAGCTTGAAAATTTACTTTGCATCTTAACCGTTGGATATCCGCAGGCAAGTGATCGAAGGACAGACGGTGAGAGAACGGAGAGATAGCAGCAATCCCATGACTACAAAAGAAAAAACTCCAAACTTTTAACCCCATAATCTTCTAAATTTTGTCAGATTTAAGTAACAAGAAGACATATATCTATATATATATACCTTTGAAGAACCGGTGAGACATTCTCGATATACCATTTCGCAGAAGCATGAACAGGCGCGGTTTTCACTCGTGTTTCGCGCACTGCTGTGCCGTAATACTCTCTTGTGCTCCATGAGTACTCTTCAGGAAGTTCTCTCACTACCCTTATGTCATCTTTTAACGCATCGATGAAATGATCAACATCAAAGATGTCAACAAAGGAACTGCAAGCGGAGAAAACAAAACAAAACTTCAGCTTAGAAATGAAACCCGAGGGAACCATCTAGAGATCACGAGTGGAATCATTACCTTGAATCTTGCCAAACAGGATTGACTTCAAGATGTGGGATCACGAGTGTTGCGTTCAATATCTTAGCAACAGCAACAGCATCACAAATCCCCATTCGTTGCTGATTAAGTCCTCCATCGAGAAATACCTGAATATACCCCTCGGTTTTATCCGGTATTGCTGCTCCAAGACAACGAGTAAAAGAGAGACAGAGATTAGATCAGAGATCAATATCGTCTGAAACTAATGAGAGATTTTTCAATTCAATACTTACGAGGGGAATTTCCAAGATCAATACATGGACTCCATCCTTGATCAGTCATTGGCCTCCATAACTCAGACTGTTCTCCACTCGACTGAAATTATGAAAAAAGAACACAGAAATCTCATCAACTTGTCTGAACTCGAAAACTAATCAACAGAGAGATCATGAAGAATCATTTTGAAATTATACCCGTTGTAAAGCACTCTTTAGCAAAGATAAATGTCTTGGCTTTATTGTAATCGCTTCCTGCAAAAAAGAAATGGTTTAATTTCATCAAAAACAACTTCACTACCTAACTCTTTGTCATAGATAGACTCTTGATTTGAAGCTAAACAAGTCTAAGTTCCCAAACTAGTCAAAATTTCTAATAATCGATAGATATTAAATCAAACCGTTAAGTATCTTTAAATTCAACACACCACAATAGAAGAGTCAATCAAACAAAACACAACCACCGGTTGATGTCTCTTTCTCTTAAACTTTCTACAAATGTACTACAATTAGAAAAACAATTCTTCATTAGGAAAGTTGAAACTACTATTTCTAGAATCATGAAACACCATAGTCGAGTGAACTTTTACCAACGAAAAAAAGAGGAATTTTTTTACATTCCACCGATATCCAACAAAAGATTTCCCGGGAAATAGGAAAAAGAAAGTAAAATTTTTGTCAACTTACAGATGAAGAAGACGAAGTCGAAGCGTTGCACAGGAAAACGACGAAGAAGAGCACAGAGAAAATCCCTCTTCCCATGGCGGTATTGTCCTTCGCATAAAGACTCATCTTTTTCTTTCTCAGGCGAGTAAAAACGGAAAAACCCAGATCCAGAATCCGTGAAAGGTCAAGACTTTATAATCAAACAATCAATACACAGAAACCGAAAACAGCCGAAAGATAAATGATCACAAAACTGCTCAGAAAACGACAGAGTGGGGGAGAAGCACGAGAGCAAAATCAAAAAAAAAGTAACGAAAGCAGCAGAATCACATGAATCAGAAGGCTCTCTTGGCTATTTCCAATATATAGCTTCCACTTTTTCGGGTTTTAGTCTTTCTCCTTCTTCTTCACACTTAAGAGTTGGTGATTAAAAATGAAGAAGCTTTCACCAATTTCCCAGAACGGTTTATAATGTTAAGAGAGAGCGCGTGAATGCGTCTCACATGGACACCTGTTCATTAAATTTGCTCTCTGTCTCTCCATGGGTCCCCGTCTTTCTTGCAACATTTCACTGAATTATCACTTTTATATTTGGTTTTATATTCATTTTGGTTCTTGCGCCGAATTTCACTTTTATTCTCGTGACACGAAAACGGGAAAACTAATTAATTGTTTTTTACTCTCCTGAATGAACAACGTTGCCTAATTGCATATAAATCTCACACAAAATGACGGAATCTGATATATTACTATATTTTACTTAACAAAAATAAGTCATAACGTAATCCTCTAAATTAATTGAAATTTTGTCAAACATATTGATTATGGAAATGAATTTGCATATGAGGCATCTTATATGAAAAGGCAAGAAGTATTAGGGAAAAAAAAATCTAGGGATTAATTATCTCATAATTTTCTTCTATGACTCTTTTTGGTTGTGTCATATATCTTTCCTACATAGATTGATCTCATGATGTGGGGTGTGTTTACTGAGATAATTTAATTGAATTTGACTTTGTATTTTATCATACAAAATCCTTTAACATGTTTCATAATAATATTAAAAAAAGATAATTAAGAGAGTTGTTACAATTGTAAAAGCCTAATTACTCTGTCGTATTAAGTCACCATCACTAATAACTGACACGTAACACACTAAAGCTTAAGGCCGTGGATTAGATTAGTGGCGCTATTTGATTACATTAGCTATTTTAAAGAAAGAGAAGAAAGCTAGTAATTTGCCTATTTCATATTCCTCGCGAAAATAAAAACAAAACAAACAAAAATTATCAAAATGGCTGGAAAAAAAAACTTTGGGAATAAGAGTGCATTATTTATATTGTTACTTTATTAGATTTTTGGACCGTTGGAACAGATAAAGACAGCTTTTTATTTTCCGAAAAGACAGCTTATATATACGCATGGTGGAACGAAATTCGGCATCTCATGTCTTATTATTATGTGAATTTGCGAGAAATAAATAATATTTTATTATAAAAAAATAATTATGTGAAATTGTGTAGAGGCACCGACACTTTGTCTACTTCCCATTACAGCTCGACTTGAGATTTTTATTTTGCATCATAAAGATCCACTCTTCTCGCTTTGTTCTCTCCTGTCCTCTCTTCTTTTCACCCACTTTTTCTATTGTTAATTTCCCCATAAATAAATGTGTCCTATATAGTTCTCTCAAAAATAATAATCGCATTACTCTTATTTCTACGTTTGGCTAAACATATCGGAAGTTACTTGAGAAGGAAGATCACTCCTAAAAGTCTGCACTAATTATGTTAGGCGAGAATTATAAACAAATTTATTAAATATAACTTACCTAAAATAAACAATTATATGATTATTTACCACACAGAGAGAATGAATTATGAGTGTTCTTTTACGTTAAAAGTTAAAAACTAAAAGATTTTAACATTCAAAGATGATTCGGCGATAGCCTTGTTTGGATTACGCATGTATAATATGCGATGGACGTGATTTTCGAAGGACCATTTGTTGACTAAACAGCACATTACGATTTGTTGGCGTGAGAGAATATGATTCTTCTTCTTTTTCAAGGGACTCGTACATTAAAAATGTATAAAGTTAAAGTTTTGGGATTACTTAGTTGCTTTCGGATAAAATTTTCCATTGAACGAATTATTAAACAACACGATTGATGGACATAAAGGTAAATGAAATAAAGTAGTACCAAAATTAATGCCAAAAATCTAATCTACCAATATAGTTTTTTTAGAAATTCATTAAGCATTTTGGAATTAGTATTGTCTTATGTTTTTCCGGTTATAGTCCAAATCAGTGGAGGAGATGGAGAAACACTTATTTGAAAAATGTATATAAATGGCAACAAACAAATTACTGGAAACATCCTCTGTTGTTTGTAATTATGTCTTAAGCATTGACACTAAATATGCTTTAGGCTTTTCCAAAAGTTTATAATTTTGGATTAATATAATCATTTGAGCCTGGCCCAAGTAACGGCCTTTTCTTTTGAGTAGGTTTATTTTCAGGTCGAGGAGTGATACAACTTTGGGCCTTGTAATTAAAAAGTAAAAGATTTTCTTAACTACATTACTGTTTTGAGCATTCAGAAATTAGCCCTCACAATCTCACAATTTATGCATTTGTGTGGTTCTTCTTTCACAAAGTAGACCCACCAAAATATGTATTCACAACATTTTTTTCTGTGTATAAATACTAACTAATTATTTACCTTCATTGACACGCTATCTGATCGGTCCAAAATTATAAAGGAATTAAATAACAAAAAGAATCATAAGCACCACACAGATCTGCGTACATGGTCACCTGCGAGTGTCATTATCATTTAATCAATTAAAATTCGATCTTCATTGCACATTGTCATGATTATCATCTTATGGCCATCCTTTATCGTAATAATTAATGTATATAAATAGAGTACTGCCACCGTAGATACTCATTGCACCGTAATTCTGAAGTGTCATTGTGCTTTATCTTGTAGGTTTCTGTATCAACCAATTAAAAAATTATATTTGGTAAATTTCGTGAAAAAATAAAAACGTAAACAAAGCAAATTATTTTCTCTTAACTGATGACTCAGTCTGATAGTATTAATTTTCATCAGAAAAAAGGACGGAAATAAAATAATAATGAACCAAAATCGAACACGAGAAGGCGTCGTTAACGCACGGCACAAAATATTTTGTGTCTCAAAAGACGCTTTGGTGTCTCTCTGTCATTTTTCTTTGTTTTTTTAAAAGACAAAATATCAAAACGGCATCGTATAACTCTCATGAAAAAAAAAGCAGCCTCCGCCTTTCATTTTTAATATCCGAGAGACAGAGGCAAACCGGAAAAAAGAAAAGAAAAAACGAATTTTGGATTTGGAGGTAAGAAATTCAAAAACTTTTGAATGCTTCCGCTTGGAATCTGAAGGTTTCCTGCTGCGGAATTCCCTGGATTCGGGAATAGGATTTAGGGTTTCTCGTGGATTTGAAAAATGGCGGAGAAGAAGAGTAATAACAATACCAATAAGTGGAACTGGGAGGTGACTGGGTTCGAATCTAGGAAGTCGTCTTCGAGTGAGGACGCCGTTTATCGGACTCCGTCTTCGATGCTTCGGCGGTACTCGATCCCCAATAACACTCATCCACCGCACTCGTCGGAGCTTGCCTTCAAGGTTCAGAGTTTGAAGGAAAAAGTTCAGGTGTGAAAATTTTCCTTATAAATCTCTTAATTACTACCCGAGATGGAAACTTATAGGGATTATCTATATCTTTGGATTTGAATGTGAGTGAGGTTGGATAGTAATATGTCTTAAGCTATCTCTAAATTATCATCATTTTTGTTTATACGAGTATAGAGCTGAGTTAGTAGACGTTTTAGGTGAAATGCTATTGCAGTTTTGTAATTCAGAGATGTTTTGATGGAAATTGAGTGTGACAGAAAGAGTGCTTAGGTTGAAGCTATTGTTTCTAAAAAGTGGGTTTTGGTTGAACAGCTTGCAAAGGACGATTGTGTGGGACTGAGACAGGAAGCTACTGATCTTCAAGAGTATTCTAATGCAAAGCTTGAAAGGGTTACACGCTATTTAGGTGTTCTGGCTGATAAGAGTCGTAAATTGGGTAAGTTTTTTAGTTCCCTCCCACTGTATTCCTTGTGAAGTTTCGAGAACAATGTAATTTTGTGGCAAAATGGAAGAAAATTTAGATTAATGAATAAGAAATGTTGACAAGATAAGAATTTCTTGGCCAGTGTTATTTAATATTGGAGTTTCATGTAACTATATCTATATATCTCTTGCGGTAGGATTTTTGTGTTATCTGCTTCAAGTTTTGCTGTGGTGAAATTCGGGGAATGTGTTTTGTTCACTTATATGCATAGCTTGTCACAGATCAATATGCCCTTGAGTCTGAGGCTAGGATATCTCCACTTATCAATGAGAAGAAAAGACTGTTCAATGACTTACTGACGACCAAAGGTGCAGATCTTCCATTACCCACGTGATCAGTCTTTCTCTCTGTCCTCCTTCTTTCCCTATAGTTTTCTTGACAACACTTTGGATTGTTCTATATGACCTGAATGTGTAGTTTATGTTTTACCTCTCAGGGAATGTAAAGGTATTTTGCCGAGCAAGACCTTTATTTGAAGACGAGGGTCCCTCTATTATTGAGTTTCCTGATAACTGCACCATACGTGTAAACACTAGTGACGATACTCTGTCCAGTCCCAAGAAGGAATTTGAATTTGACCGAGTTTATGGACCTCATGTTGGACAAGGTGAGATACCATGCTTCACTGTGAACGTAATTTTACCTTATGCTTAAGAACTGTTTCTAGTATTTGTCTGAAAAAGTAGCAAGCACTCGTACATTTGGTTCACAAATGTAATCTATGTGCTTGTTCTTTAGAA